GAATCGGATTCGAATAAGGGTATATTTTAATCCGATTCGATATTGTTCATGTCGGATCTGATCCTATCGGATATGATAGGACTCAATTTGAATTCGAATCCTATTGGTAWGTCGGATCTTCGGATGTGATCCGATCCTACTTGTTTTCTTTAAAAACTAATAAATTATTAAAAGAAAATTAAACTATATTAATTTAAATAAAATAAAAACAAAAAATACATGTATTATTAATTATTTTCATCATATATATACATATTTTTTTAAAAAATAAATAATATAACAAATCTATAAAATTATAATATAAAAAATATATTTATAAATAAATAAATAGCATATTATATATATATTTATAAATATATAATATGTAAAGGATCAGATGGGGTGATCAGCCCGACATGATTTCTAATCTGATCCTATTATCAGATCCGATTTAAAAATCTGAACTCGACCAAATAGGATCGGATCTCGGATCAGATCATAATCTGATCCATTTGCACCTCTAAATTCACTACATCATTTTGTGTTTGTTCAAATATGAAACTCGTAGCCCAATAATCATCTATTGACTCAACTTCACTCTAATATAAACCCAAATAATAGTGATAGATTCAACAGGGGTCACAGATGCAATTTCTACCTAATAAAATAAAAAAATAAAACTAACAGATGTAAAGGTCGTTTGAGATGGTGGAGGGAACGGGCTCTGCCCCGACCGAAGCCGGACTCACGTAACATGTGATGTGAATGAGAAGATGCCGCGATGTTGACTATCCCTAATATTTTACTTAAGTATCCACTATTCCTCTCAGCTTAAGCTACCGTGTACTTCAGAAATAAGCAAGATCAAACAGAGAAATTCTATTTAAGATGGACTTTTACAGAGATCTCGATTGAAGCAACAAAGAATTTCTGACCTGAAAATGAAGAATTTATAGATATTTCTTCTAGAAAAGTGCTAGCTGGAACCACTAAACCAGCTAAGCTTTCTCAATCATCTTCAATCTACAGAAACTATGGACGAAATGTAACAAGACGAAACAGAGCAGTTCACAGTGATTCCATGAAATAAAAAATTTAAAATTTGTCTGTATAGAAATTGAAAATAGTTTAAAGAGAGCAATATAGTTTTCTTTGCAAAAAAAAAAAAAGAAAAAAAAAAACAGAAGAATTCTATCAGAGGGGAAAAGCTAGCTAGAGGGAGGGAGGATCCATTTGTTTGTGTACGTACCTTCTTCATCTGGTAAGAGCTGGGTTTCAGATCTGAACTGTCCGAAACAACTCATCAACAGGAGAAAGAGCAGAAGAGCAGACAATAACTTATTCGAGTTTGCTACGAGAGCTTCTGACATCATATCTCTCTCGGCCGTAACTAAACTTATTACCTGTTTTTGCTTCATAAGCTTCCTTGTGAGGTAGGTGAAGCAGCAGCACAGCGTCAGATCAGAAACAAAGCAGCAAGATTACAGGTAATGGGTGAGAGCGAAGAGAGGAAAATTAAGTGTGGGTCGTGCAAGTGCACTGCTGCTTAGAAACGGTATTAAAAAGAGAGAACGCCACGAAGAGAAGAGAAGAGATGGCTGTAGCGGGAAACTCGGTAGTGTAGAGAGTAACGAAAGAGTATACTTTTATTTGCCCAAAACGCCCCTCCTTCGTGCCCCCTTTTGTTCGTGCATCCACCTCAAGCTTCATAGGAGCACGTGCATCTCGATTTTCCGTAAACCGTATCCTCGTTGACCTGATACGGGATGATGAGATGAGTCTGGATCTGCTGGCAACAGTTACTGTGCACTCATCCCACAGCCGAGTTCACATCTGCCCCACGGAATGCGCCTTAAAACTGCTTCACCTACACATTTCAGTGTGCATTGAGAACATCTTGTCATTGGGAGATATTCTCAATACACGATTGCGGTGTATTGTGAACGTTTTTATGACACCCTCCCCCCGATCTACTCCTTACATTTACCTCATACGCACATCCCACCATGCATTAGAAATATTCTGTATACTTAGCTGTTATTATTTATGGAAATTATTCCCAATGCATGGTGGGATGTGCCTGTAAAATCGTTACGAGGCACCCTGTGTGAGTGTGAGGAACAGATTCAAATTCCTTGATTCCACCCCTGTTTTCAATTGATGGGTGGTGTTCTTGATATGCGGCTGCCGCTGTAGTACTTTGTGCAGAGGATGTAGTTTGCCCTGGATTATGTAACTAAACACAAGTGAACACCCAGGTGTTTTATATACATGGGGCCCATGCTTCTACTAAACAGTGAATATTGATGAATTTAAATATCCTTCCCACAAGGATACTATCCACACCTACTTAGAAGACACTACAATAATACATTAATAACTAATATACAAATTTAGGAGACGTTCTGAATGTGTGGCTGTAGTGATGTATGGGTAGGAGATCTAAACACAATATTAGTGATTAGTCCAATTCACACTGTTCTACTCACAATACAGTCGGAATTTACTAACCACAAGACGCTGTACACAACAGCGTACATTTGCACATTGGAAACATATGGTGGCTATGTTTTATTCATGAAAAGATGCTCTTGGCATCAACTGCAATGTCTTATGTCTTATATCAGGATGTGACTAGAATTTTGTGATCAATGGACCCGAATTCTAGACGGGAAAATTTAACTTTTCAAAGAAAAGAGATGGGAGACATCTGATAAAATTGAAACGATATCCAATGATCTTCATTTTTTGTAACGATACAGAAAAGATTAACATGACCCAGTACAGTACAAGGATAATACGCACAAACCGAAAAATGGTCCAAGGAAAATTCTAAAGAAAAAAGAAATCGACGTTCAAACCATTGTTTTGAATTTTTTAATCAATTTAAAATCGACGAATCAAACATAACTCGAGCTTCAAGGAGTCAACTCGACTTAATAATTGAATTGAATTGAATTTGTTTGTTTCAAACTCTCCTCGCTTTTCTAACATTATCTTAGAACTTACCCTGACTTTTCAGTTTTCTATTAACATTAGTGATCATAGTCCACATTCACCGTTATTATTTTTTAATTATAAAATTAATCCTGATTGATCAGTCTACCCTGTCAACTATTCTTTTTTTATGTCAAAATAACTTCATTTTGTTTTTCTCTCCTATGAAATTTCATATTCATTCATCTCACAAGTCATAACCCACCAACAGCTGAATTTGAATGAATGGCTGTACGGCTGTCGACGAGACTCAAAACTCTAATACCAAATTCAACATCCAATCTAATTTAATTATATTGGATCTGAATGTTAAAACTTGCATTTGTTTAATAATTAAACGGAATGTAGATTTGATCTCATCCAATTTGATAAGTCTGTCCAATACTGTATTATATAAAGCAAGGTCGTTCACATTACTCTTGCTTTACTTTCTCCCTTCTTCCTTTCATCAGTCCTTAATTCTCTCTCTCTCATTGTCTATTCCTCTTTCTTACCTCTCCCAATAAGTCAAGTCTACGGGGTTTAGGCCACGACTCTCTCTCTCTCTACCTCTATCTAACTCCACCTTTTAAATACATACATTTAATTTTTTATCAATATATTAATAAAAATTAATTTAATTAAAATCAACATCTTCTTTTTAATTTAACTTAATAAAAAAGTAACATCCTAATCCTTCCTAGATTTTTGTTTTGTTTTTTTAAATTTATTAGACCAATACATAACCCAAGAATAATGCTAAGATGGATAGGGTTCAACTTGGCCTAATTAGAAATGTCTTAAGACTCTTTTCTAGATGCCACTTAATAAAATATAATAAAAATTAATAAAATTAATTTTATTAATAAAATAAAAGACATCTAGACTCTTTTCTAGATGTCTTAAGACTCTTTGCATATCATATTTAAGAGTAATAAAATTAATAAAATATAATAAAAATAAAAAAAATTAGATAAATAATAAAAATTAACACAAATTTATCTAACAATACGTAACCCAAAAATAGTTTGGGTTGAACTTGATACCCAGTTGGTCCAATTGATATTTCCATAAGGCTCCTGTCACAATTGCTTAACAAAATCCATGCATCTCCTAATACAATAATACAATATATAAATAATATATTCAGATAGACGTGTGGCGTGACTTTACATCAAGATCCATGTGCCAATTGTCTCTTATAACATTTTTGGGATGAATTAGCTAGGTGGGACCAAAATCCATGTACCATTCCTTATTAAAGCATTATTCGCCATTCAAGATATTTCACTACAAGAGGATGGTTTAGGTGGCTCATTAGACTCAAGAGAAAGAGGATGCTTTATGATTGTATCAAGGTTCAAAGTATCGATACATATAAGCTAATACTAGTTGATACATATTGTGCCGGTGGCTTCCCAATATGCTCATACAGGGGGTGTATCGGAGTTCTGACTGGCTCAAAAGGTGGAGGAGCCTTAAACCAATTCTCCTGAACCAGTTTTGAAAAAAATAAAAAAGGCAAAAAAACACTATCGATATCGCCTGATACACCCCTACCGGTGTATCGGGCATATCGATATTTTCAACCTTGTGCTGTATAGCTTTTGGGCTTTGAAATTCCAAATTGGGAGCGAGTTTTCATAGGGTGTGTGCGGATGGGAGGTACCGGTTCAGAAGTGGGAATCGATTCATGGGTAGAAGTAGGAGCTGATGAAGGTAGGTCACATGGTGGAGTGATGGGAGGTGAGGATAATGGGTCAGATAGATGAGCCAAGTCAAATAATTTGATGCACCAAAATTAGGATACCAAATATTGTGACCAAGTTGAGATGGGCATGCAGTAGCCATAGAACCTGTAAAAGAGTGATTGAAATATTGTAGGCATTGAATTGTGATCGGGTTGTAAAAGAGTGATTGAAATGTTGTAGCTTATTGCTTTTACTGACTTGAGCATTGGAGTGCTCCTCCCTGAGGAATTACCTCGGGGCTTCTTACTCTTCTGTGCACAGGTTGTCGCATCAGTACAGTTCATCCAACTCATCTACTACTTGTCCACCTTAATTAACTTGGATATCATCGGTACTTATGACATAGGTGTCCACATCAGATTATTCTCTCTCCTCGTGTTGCCATACAACCCCCCTTAGAATTTTCACTTTTTAATTTAAAAAAAATTACATGGAGCTATAAAAATTTGTAAAGTCACCTACAACCAATTCACTTTAATCAATCCCCTATAGAACATGGGCATCTTTTAATGCCAACTCGTGCATCATAGAGCCTATATACGAAAGTGCTATTTTTCTAATTTTCTTTCTCTTATATCTTATTATTCGAGACTTTTTTCAAAACCGTCTTAACTGTAGGTTTTATATAAGCCTACCAATTATCATTTTACCATGTTGAGTGACTAAAGTTGTTAAGGGTATTTGTAGTCTTAGGGCCCTTTTTGTTTAATTTTAGAAATTTTGAGTAAGGTTGGTATTTTCTATCTAATCCACATATATAGACCCCTAAAATCTCTCCCTAATTCCACTGAAGTTTGATAAATACTCCCTATTTTCTGGATTTATTATTTAAATGTTCCATAATGCTTTATTTTTCCTAAGATTTTTTTTCCAAAGCTATCCATTATATGTAGGTATGATGCTTACTATCAAGAGTAATGTTGTCATTTAATAAAATCACATCATTTTGTACAGTGCAAATACTTACAGGTAGGGATAATTATTGGTCATTGGACTGGGTTTCCCCACCTGGATATGGTGACTTTTCCATCACCATGTCCCCTCGGTCTACATTTCCAAAACCTTCACAGCTTGGATGCATTAATCAAAGATCTTCTTTCTGGCCTTTGTTTTCTGTAATTTTTTTATGATCCTTGTCTCTCAACTCATCAGTTTTCATTCTTGTAAAATGTGGATATCAATGAAGTTCACTCTTTCCTACAATGAGTAGGGAAGTTAATTACTTTAAACAAAAGTGAGGTTATTCCTTATAAGCAAAGACATAATCATGAACAACCTGATATGCGTTCAGTTCAGGAAGCGTCCTTTGTTACATTATCAACTGAATTAATTATTCAAAAATATCAATGTGGATGCAAGTTACATAAAAACGTAATGACAGTAATTCTTCTTCTTCTGTTTTTTTTTTTTTTTTTTTTTTGTAATTGCATCTTGTCAATGGTACTCCATTTAAATATCAATAACATCAGGCATAAGTTTGATTTCATCAGACTGGTCTCTACTCTCTTCTCTGTTCTGGAAAGATACAGAAGAATCAATCCATGGGTCATCCACTGATATGCTTATTGGCATCTGGCTTTCCTGAGACATTTTTGATACATTTGATAGGTTGCCATATGAAATCTGCTCAAAGGTTTTGAATTCATTATTTACTGAGCCTTGCTTGACAAGTGGAGCTTGGACTGCAATTTTTCCTTCGAGCATGCTCACAACAGTGGACATGGCTGGTCTGAAGGAAGGAGATGGATCAGTGCATAAAAGAGCCAAACTCAATATCCTCAATGCCTCTTTTTTAGGATAGTTTGATTTGAGGATAGGATCAACAAGCTCTAAAAGATTCCCCTCCTTTTGTAAAAAATAGGCCTAAAAAAGTAAGAAAATAAATTATGTTTGCTTTTTGTTTCATCAAACTTTCTATACATCATTGTGCATTGGATTTGTTAAGACAATGGTACATATATATATATATATATATATATATATATATATATATTTATATATATTCCAGAACAATTCAAAAAATAAAATAAAATAAATGAAGGAAAAAAAGATCTTGTGTATTGAATGAGATTCCCTCTTATAAAGAGGGTTTAACATAATAACTTATTCACAATTGCTACTGGTAAAGCCCAAAAACATGTAAAAGTCAGCTAAGAAACTAGAAGAAATATGACTGTAGTTACTAAATTTATATAGAATATGCAAACTATTCAGATATTCACATTTTTGAAGAAAATATATGAAGCTGTGTGGTTCCAAAAGGAAACTTATATGAACTATTCATGAATGCATAATGCATGAATGGTATTGTTTTGGCAATTAGATGAATACATATGCAACAAAACCCATAAGCTTTGGCAAGATATATGCATAACCGATGAATTTTATGTAAGAAAAGACATGTTGCTCTATGATACAGGAAATTGAAATAAGGTTCATCTTACCCAGTCGAGAAGATAAAGGAAATCCTCCTTTGGCCTATAATTTGTATTGCTCTTTCCACTTACAATCTCTAACAAGACAACTCCAAAGCTGTAAACATCTGCTTTATCAGTCAAATAACCCTTCATTGCATATTCAGGAGCCATATATCCTCTGAAAAAGTAAAATAAAATATGTTATATTATATTATATTATATAGTATGGTTCCAGAAATGACCTGGCGAAAGCAGTTCAAGAGGACTATTGATGGTATCATGGGACTGATAATGGTTTCTCAAAGCAAAAATTGCTAAACCTATGGTTGAGGTGGGATTTCTCCTCATAGTGATTTTATGAGTAACACAACAATAGAATATGTAGAACACATGAAAGTTATAAAATGTGAGAATTGCCCATTGAAACTTGTTTTTTTTTTCTTCTTTTTTAAGTTGACTGTGAATGAAGCATTGACAGTTGGATTAACCAACGTGAGAAATAAGGACCTTGACAACAACTCCTGTGTCCAAATGGTTTCCTTAAGGGCAATTACCCAATGTTGGGCACAGCTATCTAGGTCTTGGGAGGGGTGGACCGGATATGGACCTAACCTTTGGAAATTTTTGCAAAAAGTGGCTGTTCTCATGTTTACATGTTTTTCAGACTGGATTTTTCCATTGTACCAAACAATGGCCCCTAGAAAAGAATGAATACTAAATTTCAGCTCCATACCACAGGATACAATTTTTCCTCTAGAATAAGAACTTAAAAATTAATGGTTTTTGGGTGTGCTTTTGATTTGCAACCTCATTTTTTTTCTTTAAGATTATTGAATGGATTCTCAGGAGGGTAATAAACCAGTGAAGTAACATGAGCAAAGATCAAACTATAAACAGTAACCAAAATAGTACACTCTTTTGTTGAATGGAAATGTCATTGAGAACTTACAAAATGCTATATTTGTGCCTACCAAATGTGCAACTCACATCAATTTAAGATAGCTTCTTTGAATTCATAAATCCCTTTCCGTTGAGAGTATCTCCCAATACTATCATATACTAGTTAGGGGGGACCAAATTAATATAAGATCCTCTTTCCTCCAAAATAAGAATCCATGCACCCTTGGAGATATTTATCCTTTTACATTCTCTTGAGATCCTGAGATAATTTGAACCATTTAATTCATATTTTTTACATTTCCAGTTTTGATAGGTATAAGTATGGAACATGAAGATTGCAATCAAATGACTCATATAATGTACCAAAATACAAACTTTATTTTTGGTAGAAAATAAAGTCTACAAAAAGAATGAGAAAAGTGGGACTCTATTCCCCATATATGTCCTATGAAGATATAATGATAAATTAATCTATTATCTCTTGTTTCAAATGAAGAGGCACTTGAAGATTTGGAAGGTTGTATCTCTCTTTCTATGCCCTCCTTGGTGGTGGTTCATGCCAATAGTTGCACTGGGGTACATCCTATGATAGGCCTAGGAATCTGGTGATGGATTTGGATTTGGAGATTGTGACTCAGTGATCCCAAACCCAAAGTATTGAAGATAGAAGGATTCCCTCTGGTTTGACTCCTTACAAAAGAAAAGAGTTCTTTTCCCTCCCAATAGAAGTGTGCTGAAGAGGAATGCCTTCTGATGCTACTACAGGAGAGGGAACAGAAATTCTCTTTGAACTCATTTTGTTTCCCATTCATTGGGAATCTAGATGATTGCATTCTTCTTAGATTTTTATTAATAAAAAAATTAAATGCCTTACATGGTTCCAACTATTCTAGTGCTGATATGGGTGTTCCCATCTTCATTAAGTTTAGCCAAACCAAAGTCAGATATCTTAGCATTAAGATCCTTGTCAAGAAGCACATTGGTTGCCTTTATGTCTCTGTGGACAATCTTGAGCCTTGACTCTTCATGCAGGTAAGCTAGGCCTCGTGCAATCCCTAGGCAAATCTTTCGCCTTGTTGGCCAGTCTAGCATTAGTTGATGCTCCTCACTACCTACATATAGCCCATTCTTAATAACATGAAGGACATAGTTTGTTGGATGGAACAAGTGGAATTAAATGGTGCTAGTGGCACATAGAATTCTCTTCCATAGGCCAAAAAAAAATGTTGAAGGGATCTTACCAAATAAAGCATGGGCAAGGCTATTATTCTCCATGTATTCATATATTAATAATAGCTGGTCTCCTTCAATACAACATCCTATGAGCTTCACAAGATTTGGGTGCTGTAATGCAGATATCATGCCTATCTCATTTACAAACTCACGGTTCCCCTGCTTTGATTTTGGGGAGAGCTGTTTGACAGCAATTACAGTACCATCTGACAGTATACCCTAAGATCGGAAAGGTAAATTCTGGTATTATAACTTTGCAGAAAGATGAGCATATAGAACATGTAGAAGTGAAAAAAAAATGAAAATCCATTGTCTTGAGCTACCAAAACAAACTGATGGAGATAATTGACAGAAAATGTGAGAAAACTCCCTATCTAGAATTACCTTATAAACAGGTCCAAAGCCACCTTCACCTATCTTATTTGCAGGGTCAAAGTTCCCAGTTGCAGCTTTAATTTGTTTTAAACTGAAATAATCTGTATGTAGCTCTAGGCCTCTAAGTTCTGCAAAATCAGTGACAATTTTTATGGTAGCTAAAATATAATTTATAAAAAACACCACTCAAACATATAACATGATAAAGTTTCTTTGTCTTTTCATGTCTTAGTGTTTCAGGATCCATTGTGACTTGTGAGAGACAGAAATCAGCAACTTACTGTTGTCCTTGGATCAAGCAAAAGTAGGTACTTATATTATATTCCCATTTTGTTCCTGGAGTCCTCGACTTGTTTGGGTCACTTTATATTTTGATTTTTGTTGAATCCAAGGGACCATTTGATAAGTGATCAATTGGCTGAGCTGATACTGAAGTACTTATTTCTTTCTTTTAATGGATAAAACAGTCACACAATGGAACATTTAGGGGTAAAGTAGTCAACCAACATGCCATTCAGCAAATAAGGAGCTTGCTCCTACCTGAACCACTATTCATTAAAAGACAATTAAAGTGTAACTAATTCAGTTCATCAAATTTAGCAGTTACCAAATGCCCCAAGTAATAAGTTTTTGATGAAGTTTCTATTCAGCCTACCTCAATTCCAACTAAAGTTTGGGTATTTTCTATTTTTTATTGGTAATCAAAAATTAGTTGTAGGGATTCTCATGGCCTGGTTATCCAGTCCCACTAGCTTATGGCACAACTGAACAAAAGAGTCTGTACCTTTGTTCCCTGCTGCCTTGTGTCATGTCTGTCATAGTCTATGCAGGTTTGAAGATGACATAAACTGCTTGGTCAAGAACAATGCAACATTAAATCTTGTCCAAGTATAGGTGAGATCTTTCAACTTGGTTGGTGGCAAGAAGAAATTCTATTAATGAAAGGAAAAAAAAGAAGAAAACATAAGCTATCTGGGAATGTGCAAAGGAACCCCCGGATGATATGCAACTTTCTTTGTTCTTAATGTCAATATATAGAAATTTAAATTTGATAGTTGATACTCTAATTTTAGTTACAGGTTCTTTGCTTAGTTCTGAATAATCTACCATCTGTTTTCCATTATTTGATCATCCATTTAAACCCTAGTGGCCTAGTCAACCAGACTAATTTTTTGTTGATAAAATCCCATTGAAGCCACTCTAAAATCCAGAAAGCAGGAATCTTTAGACTGTGTTGTCATAAATCATATTTTCATGTTAGTTATGCGTTGTATATATGTTATATGTGGACATGCACAAGAAGTTGGCCACTACAACCATGACATATAAGAAGTTTCAACATATGACAAGATGTTAATTAAATAGTCCTTCAATTTTCATTTTGGACCTTCCACATGCTACTATGGATGATATATAAAAACCCTAGCACTACACTTTTCAAGTACACTATCTGTTTGAGAATACTTTTGCAGTAAAAGATAAAACTAAGGCAACTGCTGAGAAGTTCAAGAATAGAATCAAGTTAAAAGGGCATATAACTGGACTATTTTCCCAATAAAGTCCTTATCACGTGAATGAGACACCAAAAACCAAATTATAAAAAACAAAAGAGCAAGAAAAATGTATATATTACAGAATTGTTAATTATTAAGTATGAATTCATTTATCTCACCTTTGTCTTCAAGTTTCTTTCCTCCGAGGTAACCCTTCATCCAAAGGAATACAAAAATCAATACAAGAACTACTAATGCAGCAGCTACAATGCCAACAATATCCCCAACAGGTAGCCCGATATCAGGGTTGAAGTCTACAACGTGAAAACAACCATCATGATGAGGTTATTCAGAGAGTAAAGAAACCTTGCAGCTCTAGGAAAAACTTACTTGGTGTCACTGTAATAGCTGATATAAGGGGTCCATATAATCCTCTATCTGGAAGGACACTAGTCCCTTTTCCTGACCAGTATAAATGAATCTCCAGATTGCTACCATTAACAACAACATCTTTAAATTCCTGAATAATACTCTTACCAGTACCATTAGCTTCTTTGGCAATATTAAAATCCTTCAACCATACTTTTCCCTGCAAGAAGGGATAACGAACAAAAGTTACATCAAGAGGAGGTTTTATTATTTTTAGTTCTGTAAACAAATAGAATATTAACTCAGGAAGTTTCAATAAGGCTGCATTTTGTTTTATAGAAAATTATTGAAATTAGGAAAGTTGTGGGAAGGCCTTCAGGCATTTTATGAAATCCCTTAAGAGCTTTCTCACAACTTTCTCAATTTTAATATTTTCTCAGAAGCCAAATACAGCCTAAGGTTCTATCCTTCTTATAAAGAAATAGTTAGGAATTAAGTGTTATGTTCAGTTGGAAATGGTTATCATAGAGCCATGACCACTAACAAATGATATCACCATTCAGTAACTGAGTATGGATCCTGGCAGTCTTCCAGTCACTCACTTGGACTGATACATCAAATATCCGCTCTCCAAGACTGCTAATTGTCTGGTCATCTGTATACATAATTTCAGTAAAGTGGAGCTTCACAGTATAACTTCCCTTGTGTAAACAGAGCCCATAGTATTTGAGTGAAAGAGGGGAAAGGCGAGCTGTCATGTATAATTCTGAATCAGTTGTGTTGAGTGGACTCTTTGCTTGGATAACGAAGCTGGCTTTATCATTGAACAAGTAGTCTCCTGTAGTGCTACAAGCCCATCTGTCACTAGAATGGTAGAATTGAGATGGACCCATCTGTGTCAAGTCTTCTTCATATTCTTCCCCATGAATTACTATCTTAGGGCCACCACAATTAATGAACAAGGAATGGTCTGCGGTTGTTGGATGGAAAATAGATTATTATAATAAGTGTCTTCAGTGTCAAAGGTATAAGAACTTGTGGATCTCATAGAGAGAAACTACTTACATTTGGGTTTACTAGGGCAGGGGAGGTCCTTCTTCAGGCACCAATTGACTCTATAAAAATATTTTAGATTAATTTATTTCATTGATATGGCTGCTGAGTGAAATAAATAGGCTTCCAATGAACTAGAAACTTACAAGTTGTCTTCTGAAGATGAATAACTAGCAATAGTTTTCCTGTAAAACAATACAGGAGAAGAGGTTTATTATTGTAAAATAGAAAAAGATGAAATAGAGTAAGATAAATATCAAACCCAGAGAGCAACTTACACATTTGTTTGCTGACAACTGGGTACGGGAGAGTATCCTGTAAAATTGTTATAAGATATGTCTCTGCAAGACAGATCCAAGGAGTGTTCCACAGTAATGAGTTTCTTGATGGAATTGACAATATTTCTGAAGTAATAATAGAATATAAATGGGGTATACCAGCATACAAGAGAAATTAATTAAAAAATAACAGTCATATCTATGTGACAAGACCAAGATAAGAAATATGGTAAAATCCAAAGAAAATATTGTTCAAATTCCAAAGATTTTAATAAGAAATACATACATAAATTTTTTGCTATCCATGATCCAAGCTGGTACAGATCCAGTTAGTGAGTTGTTAGTGAGATACCTACATCCATAAAAAATATATGTCTAGCTCATGACTAAAGAATATATTTATGAAGGAAAGACAGCAAAAATAAATGAAGTTAATAAGTAAAGGAAAATATTAAAATAAGATCAAATTTTTGCATAGATAATTCGGATTGTATTATTTTATGCTAAACCTTCATTTACATACAGGTATTTTAGTTTTGACAAACTCTGAAAATTTGCAGGAATTTCACCATTCAGTTTATTGGAGGACAGATCTCTGCAATGACAAAAATTAATATAAGGACAAAGACTATGCAAATTGTCTCTTTAATTTAAGTTAAGGTCACTCAACTACAAAATAATAAGGTTGTCATAAAATTTGTAAGATAGTATTGTTTAATTAGATTTGGCACTAGCGATGCCACTTCTGGTTTAAAATCACCAAGAGGATCCATAAAAAAGGTCTTTGCCAAGCAACTTAAATTAAAATATAATCCTTAGGATGCAACTACTTTGTTCTTGGAAATTCACAAGATGAAAGACATTATTAACTAGGTGCATAAAAAAGAGATTAATACCAAAGACAACCTTTTATGAAAGGCTTCTACCTTAGATGCATTTTCAAGAGACTCAAGTTCAACATGAATGCCAATTATTTAACAGTAAAAAGATGATCTTGATACATGGGCAAATAAAAATAAGAAGAACATAATCCAGGAAACTATGACTTGGGAATTAGGAGTACACATTCAACCTAGATTTTACTAGTGACCACTGCAAATGAGTTGAAACTCATAACTGCTCAACTGAAAATTTCAAGACTCTTTTGTAAATTAAAACTGTGAAGCTATTAAAGGATCAGAAAAGTTTTGACTGATTTCTATGTTTCCTATATTCAACTTATTCATGAAAAGCTGTATTTTTATTCTGGAAGTGACAGCATGCATTAACTACTGGTACTTGTTTTTTCATGTATCTAGTTTAGGTATTATCTGTAGATACCAAGGGAAGTTAAGTCCTTTGATTTATTATTCACTCAAATCAATAATATTCTATGGGGCCTTATTAGAATAAATAAAAATTTTTCTTTTTGGTCTCTCATTCTTTCACCTTCTTTCTCTTCATTGTCTTCAATCTACAAACCTCTAATCCTCACATAGGTGCAGCTTGAAAATAGAGTAATAGCAATGAGGAAGAAGATTCTTTTTTTTAGCTACTGATCAAAGTGGTTACCTGATGATGATGTGAAAACACTTACAGTAAACTTGCACAGGTAAGGTAGAAGAGTACACCATTCAGTAAAGAATGATTTAAAATATTATAGTGCTTTTCCTAGAATTCAAGTTTCATGAATCTGATTAGGCCTTTTCGTTGGGTTGCATTTTTTTCCTAAGCTTTCTGTGCGATTTCTGCTAAATATTGTTTTCCCTGGTATTTATAAGACAATGCTCCTAAGTTATTTGTTTTAGTATAGAATACTTGGTGAAGAATTCTCTCCATCATATTTATCCCCCTTCTATTTTGATTTTCTGACATTTGTTTTGAAAACATAAATTTTCATCAAAATTACTAGAATTGATATCTGATGTTCAAGGGTAGTTTTGTCATGCCACAAAAATTAGTTAAGTGTGTCCTAGTCAATCTATTATAAGGGCTCTGAACAGTGATATCAAAACAGGAAACAGAAAAGAGTCCCTTAAAATAAAAGGCCACATCTATGCAGCTATGCCTTAAAAGAAGGCAACCCTACCTGTAAAATACAAATAACAACCACAAGATCCGATTCTATATAAGACATTAGTTATGTTGTGCATGATTGGCATCTTATCTCCAACTTGAGAAAGAGTTTTGAGATGTATGGGCTTTTCTTTATCTACCTTGGTGTTATTTGTAGTCCTTCCTGGCATTTTCTTCTTCCTCATTTTCTCTCCTCTTTGTTATTCTTCTTCTTCTTCTTACTAAACCTACAATCTATGGTAATTCCGGCTATTACTGGTCTAAAAGTAAAATGCTGGCTCAATTAAAGATGTTTGTAAGCAGTATTTGTAGGATGAAACATTAAAGAATGCCTCAACTAACTAATCATCCAAGTGAAATCACCTTGGTTCATTCCATCATTATGTGATTATACAGAAGCCTAAATCAGAATATAGAATTGCAATGCTTAAAAACTGATTCTTACATGTTTTAGGAATTTTCATTATCTAGTGGAAACTAAAGGCTAACAGATAAATAAGGAAGAATTTTACCAAAAAAAATGAGGATATTTACAGATCAAATCATCAGAAAAATGGTACCCTTCCGTGAGAACTTACAATCTTGTTATATTTACCATCACTTTTTCTATGTAGTCAGGGATTTGGCCTATAATCATGCAGTTTCTGAGTATCCTGGAGATGAAACAAATCAAAAGTACCTCATCAGTGAAAGGAACCACAAACAAACTTTTCTATAACTACAGCATTATACCAAGCATATATCAACATACAAATCAATCATGGATTTCATGCCACTGAGGTCAGGGAAAGTCATCTCTGGTCCATTCAAGTCGGTCACCCTCCTGAAATTTATAATACATCCACTCAGAAACTTGTACCATCATTGTATCTTTGATTCTGTTGAGTTTACAGTACAAGTCTAGTAGTCTCATATAGAAGTTACAAAATACTGGAACATTGACTCACAGTTGAATTAGGTTTTTCAAGAGGGAGATTGCAGAGGGAATAGGGCCCTCCAAGGATGTTGCTTGCATGTTGCTGCAACAGTGCGAAGTAGTTGCTTATATATAATATCTTCAGAATCAAAATCAGCAATCATTTTCTTAAAGTTCTATTAAGTTTTCCAAACTCAAAGAAAAAAAATGTAGATGAGTATCAAATTAATATACTCACAGATATTGAAGTTTTGCCCAGTTCCCAATGAAATTAGGTATCCTCCCAGATACACCATTCCCATCTATCCTACTGCATGCAGTAACCAAACTTAGGAAAAATATTATTTGAAAAGGCACAGTTTGCCAAATTAGTAGCATCAACTTACAAATCTGTCAAGTTCTTCAGATTTCCAAGTGTTTCTGGTAATGGCCCTGTGATATTGTTTGCAGAAAGAAGACTGCAAGAGAGAGAAACAAGCTATCAACATGACTTCAACGACAATAATAGTAGAATAAATAAAATAATAGCAATGAGCAAGAATTGAATACAATGTCAGTATCTCAATAACGAGTGCTTCAATTTTGGGAAAAATTGACTTGGTGCAAGTTGAAGGTTTTAAAAGGAATAGGGGATGAATCTGAGCTCAGATGGTGAGATAAGAGGGGGGGAAATAAATAAAATTTATCGCTACCAAAACAATTTATCTTGCTGACACAAATTTGTCCAGGTACCTAAACTAGATCTTTAGCACAAAAAATGGTCAACACGGGATTTATTGGGTAAAAGAAGAAAAATGAGGAGACGAAAACATGAGTCTTACATTCTCTTCAACCGGCTTAAATTACCAAGTTGCGGAGGAATAGTTCCTCCAAGCTGATTATCCTCCAAGAGCCTGAAGAATCCAGTTTTGGATCAGAAACATAAATAGTCACCATTTGTTGTCATAATCTACTGTGAATATTGATTAGGTAAGGACTCACAGCTCCTCAAGCGTTTCAATGTCAGCAAGTGCCGCTGGAATTGATCCACTAATGCGGTTTCCAATAAGGCCTCTGCAATGCACAGCATTTCAGTCAAGTCATCCTAGCAATTGGTTCAATTAAAGCCATAGAATTGCAGATGCAACTACAAGGAGTTGATTTTGAGCTTACATGGTGACTAGAGGGATCCGAGCCCAACTCACAGGAATGGCCCCATGGAGACAGTTGCGGAAAAGAATTCTGTTTTAGAAGAAGAAGAAGAGCGGTTAAGAAATGTTTAATAATTTCAAATTACGGTTAATAAATGGCGCCAATCTTTTCTACCCTGCGCTGACGGTTAAAAAAATGTATCCTGATTCCCTACATTCCACTTGTATGATAGATCCTGTGGATGGGTCCACTACAGGCATAGGGAATAGACAGGATGGCTGATCATATGATATAAGTAACAACTCTACTGGGTTTTGTCTCATTTGGTGATAATCAGAGACGATCAAGCCACAAGACAGTCTTCTGGGCCCCTCAAAGATGATGAAACAACCACCTCAATTTCACATCACTTACATCTTACTCAAATATGGAAGATCCGCAAATTCATCAGGTAGAACTCCAGTGAGGTTCATAGCCTCCATCTGACTGAAACACACCAAAGAGAACAAATGTGAGTGAGTGAGAGAGAGAGAGAGAGAGAGAGAGAGAGAGAGAGAGAGAGGTACATTTCTGTAACATGGCAAAGAGTGTTGTTGTTGAAGGAACAGTTGCAGGTGATATTGCTGAGGATATTCCAAGCATAGCGATACAAATTAATAAAACCTCCAGTACAGGAAGTTCGGCTGACGTTCCAATGTCTGTTGTAATTTAACTTGGTTGATATTTTCTGGAGCGTCTGTACTGCAAAAAGAGGGAGAAAATAATATTCAGGCTCAGTTTAGAAGGAGTATAAATACAAATATGTAAAGCGTAAATCCATGTATTTTGTATTATTTTGTACGTATTACTCCTTCCAAACTGAGCCTGAACCTGAGCCTCAGTGTAATATAATGTAACCATATTTCTCAGACCCAACAAGATGTAACAACTAACAACTAAAACCGTTTTTGAACTTTTGAATATCACAAGTGAATTCCATATCTGAACAGAAAGAGAATTTTGTTTAATCCGTTGTAGTTTTGTATGTGGCATTGTGACTATATGTTGAGAAATATGACTAAAATGGAAAATATATGTCATAGTTTCATAGACTCAGTCATAGCTAGGCCTCTTTTTTATGATTCTTCTTTTGGGATGATGGATTGGGTTTTTTTTTTTTTTTGTAGAAATTGCAAGAGACTTGACTAACACTACCTAGGACCGGACTAGATGGTTTTTTTTTGTTGTTTGTCCAATTCTTTAAAATGCTGCTTTCGGTTTAAAAGAAAATACTTTGAAAATTGGTGTGTTTTTTCTCTTATGAAGTTCCAATTTTGAAAATAGTTGCTTTATCATTTTGGATACAGTTTTTGCACCCATTTGTTAAGGACTATGGTTTGCACCTTTATCGATGCAAACTTTGTATCTGTAAAGCTGATGCAAATCAAAATCACTAACAAATTTTGCATCCAATCCATTCGTTATTGATTATGATTTGCACTCTTACCTGGTGCAAAATTTGCACCACTTCCTCCCACATTAATTTCCACCTCATTTTTCTTTCATATAAATTGGGGACTGTCATTTTACTACTACCTACTCTACTTCTTTCAAACAGATAAAACAAGGTCGTATCTGAAGCAAAGGTAAACCAAAATTTTAGTTAAGATGAAAAGGAAAGAAATACAAATAAAAATCGCATATTTTTAATATACAAATATGTATTTTTAAATCATGGTTCAAAATAATGGTATTCTTAATATACAAAGATTGCGTTTTCAGAATTTTTAATAATTGATACTTCTTTTTCAGTTTGATAAATTTTCAAATAGGTATAATAAGATAGATATTAATGTTTAAACCTACTCCCATTATTTGTTTTTTTCCCTGACTTTTGAGAATATAAAACCAATAATATGAATATAACTATACTAAAAAATTACTACTAATAATTAAAATTTATCAAAGAAGTCTTTACCCAAAATTTCAAGAAGAAATTCCTAAAATTTCCGAAATGGATAGTGGATACACGTTCTTAAAAATAAGAACGTTTCTGAGTGTGAAGCCCACGTAGAAAGTGACCAATATCTAAGCAGTGATGCCACGTATTCTATCAGGCCCACCCAAAAATGTACCATACAGCAACGTAAATGACTGAATTCTGTCCATTTCATGGGACGGGGACGTCAAGCTGAACAGAGAGAGAGACCTCACTAGCTCTTTCAGATTGGTCGATAATCTGATTAGTTTTTCGCCTACTATGCCTTAGCGCGCTGAAGAACGTTGATGAGAAGTTGTAAAGTTGTGAAAGTAAAGAATTTCCAGATTTTTAATTTGAAAGAAAATGTTATCCACCCCAGTAAAAGCTGCGTAATCTGCAGAAACTATCTAGAGGCGAAATACAATAAGAGAAATTCTATTGACACGAAGAAAAGCAGTTCAAAGGGATTGCATCAAACAAAAGTTGATTAAAGCATTCCAAAATGAAAGATTTCAAAGCAGAGACAGACAGAGAAGATGCAATCCGTTACCTTCCTCATCCGGTAAGAGTTGGGCTTCAGATATAAACTCCTCGAAGCAGTTCAACATAAGAATGAAGAGAAGCAGAGCACACAACAACTTAATCGATTTCGCTTCAACAACCATTGACACCATTTCCGATGACCAACTCTGCTTTCTCTCCCTCTTTCTGCAACAACCTTCTTCCTTGGTGTTGCTTAGCAGTTGGCAATGAAGAACGCGCTCCCTTGTGAACCAAAGAAAAAGAAAAAAAAATGTGAGAAGGATTGGCACAGACATAGAGGACATGAAGGGAGGGAAATGGCTGGCAGCGAGAAAATCAAAACAACAATAATAATATACACTTATGATATATGCGGATTTATCGGATCAAACTTTGATCGGAAGGAAAAAGGGTTGACTTGGAAAGTCCAACTTCAAACGTAGAGTACGAGTGAACAGTGAGCTCAGAAGAAGTCGTTGAAAGTTAGAAACAGCGATCAATGTACCGGCTTCGGCGTATAGAGATGCTCCGAACCCAACTAGAAAAGGTTACGTTGGTATGGATAGCGATTTGACCCGTCCCACCGGTTTTCTTACCACTGATTGGGGTTTGGAGCGGGTTCAAGGATATCCAAAATTCTAGGGACCGGGGATGGGGCAAGGATGGTATTTGCTTATCCTACCTACCCTAGCCCCATCTGTCCCGATATATGTGTGTGGAGGTATGTATAAATATGTATTTTAGTAATAAAAAATGTATAAATTTTTTAGATGTAATATATGTATATATAAATATTATTTTATGTTTTATTTATACTTTTAATTCAGATTTTAAATTTTTATTTGTAAAAAAATAATGGGGCAAGGCTCTTTCGGCTTCTTGAGTTATATAAATCTTGAAAAATTACCCAAAATAAATAAATAAATCACCTTGACCAAACATCTGAACCCACAGTTTGGCCTTTAGAAGTTTCCATATACATTGAGTGTGTAACCCATGGTGACCGGATTGAATGGGTCAACCACCTAGGTTGGACGGTTTTCGATCAAGTTAATAGTTTTTGACCAAATGACAGGTTTCATTCAAAACAAACCTAAAATCTTAACTAAGTGTCAATTTGAATGGTTTAAATGGTCAAGTCAATGATAAGTTGAAAACATTGGGTTTATTGGACATGTGAAATAGATTAGGAGATGTTTTAAGTGGGGGAGATAGTTTAAGAGAAATTTTAGGAGAGGAGATTATTTAGGTGATTGGGACACAGAGAGAGAGAGAGAGAGAGAGAGAGAAACCAAGGAGAAGCCTTGGTTGGTGAAGGGGACAAAGGAGAGGCCATTTAATGTGGCTAGTTTTGTTATAATATATACTAATAGATAAATAGAATTGGGGCAGGATAGGGACTTTACTCTCCAAGGTAGTCTCCATCCTGCCAAGGTAGTCTCCATCCCAAGGTTCAAGGTATTGACACAGGCCGATACATCGGTAAGTTATATTGGCCTATATCAGTGCTTTTTTTTATGTTTTATTTATTTTTTTAAACTGGTTCAAAGAGGTCAGTTTAAGTCCTAGCTACCCTTTGAACCATGGTCTGACCCGATACAACCCCTGTAGGGGTATATCGTGAAGCTCCCGGCATGATGCGTATCAGTCAATACGGGCCGATACATATCAATACTTTGAACCTTGCTCCATCCCTGTCCTTGCTGGGTACCCAGCCTCCTTGACCCCGTGGGGTTGGGCAAAATTGCCATCCCTAGCCAAATCGCCATATAATTTTTTAGAAACTGTCTTGAAGGTAAATATTAGAAACACTGTTAGTTTCACTATTAATTAACATGTTTTTGTTAAATATGAATTTCTTTCAATTTTTTTTTGTTATGTTTTCAAAAAAATTGTTAAAAAATCATAATTTGTTTCACTAAATTATGTGAAAAATTCACTACTAGATGAATTGTCTCTGTCTTATAGCTCCATTGAAGCGAGCTTAAGTTTTGGATTAGATTGTTTCCCCTGCTAATTTACTTGGAAAAGAAATGAATTGGGGGTCCAGAAATTTGTACACATCAAGAAGACAAAGTTCATGGGTCGGGTTATTTGAATACCTAAAAATTGTTTGATCCGCTAGCTTCAATTACTAGCTTATATTGAATTGGATCGATCTGATTTGATTGGTTTGACTTGGTTACACAATTTTAAAAATAAAAAAAGAGCAAATAAGAGAAATTTTCACTAAAAAATTTATTAATTAGAAAATATAAGAAAAATAAGGAAAGATAACAAAAAACTATTAACAATTTTGTTAATTAACAAAAAAAAATGATAAAATAAGGAAAATTTTCTGAAAAAAACGAAATAAAAAAAATAGAAACTTAATTTTTAATTAACTGATAAAAAAGAGAAATTTTCACTAAAATAACATAATTTTTTAATATATTAAAAGTAATATTTATTGAGAAAATGTTAAAAATTAGAAAGTAATAAATAATACAAATAAAATTAAATTAAAACAAAAATTTCTTTACACAATTAACTTATTAATTAAAATAAATTAAATAACTCATTTTTATTAACTTACTCTAAAATTAGTAAAATTAATTTTATAAATTAAAGAAAAAATAAATTTAAAAAAGTAATAAAAAATTAACATAATTAAAAAGAATAAAAAATGTTAATAGACTTAGAAAAAATATTTTATTAGTTAAAATTGATACAAATTAATAAAAACATAACTTAATTACAATCAATAAAAATTTAACTTAAAAAAAAAGTAACTCTCCCTCTCCCTAATCCTTTCTAGATTTTTGTTATTTTTCTTAATTTAATATACAATACATAGCCTAAGAATAATGCTAAGATGGATAGGGCTCAGCTTGTCCTAATTAGAAATGTCCCAAGACTCCTATCTAAATGTCACTTAACAAAGCCTGTACATCACATTTAAGAGAAATAAAATTAATAAAATATAATATAAATAGTAAAAATTAAAATAAATAATAAAAATTGACACAAATTTATCTAACAACACAACCCAAAAATAATTTGCATTGGTACCACTTGACCCAATTGATATTTGTCATAAGGCTTCTACCACAATTTCTTTTAATATATATGCATTTTAGGCGCCCGACCAAGGTTCAAAGTATCGATATGTATCGGCTCGTATCGACCTATATGTATCGTGCTGGTGACTTCCCGATACGCCCCTCTAGGGGTTGTATTGGGTCAGCCACTGGTTCAGAGGGTAACCGGGATTTAAAGTTTAAACCGACCCCTTTGAACCAGTTTCGAAAAAAATTAGTAAAACCTAAAAAAAACTACCGATGCAGCCCGATACACAGGGCGTATTGATATTTTGAACCTTACACCCGACTAGTTATATAACTAAAAAAGTAAAAATAAAATAAAAAACAATGTGCATTGGCCATTTTAGTATGCAGTATCCTAGGGATAACCACACTTGACATATTAATGGGCCTGCATAGATAGCCACATCAGATTGATTCCCTTTTCTCCACGTATGTGTATACTCAATCTCAAGAGTCTAGATCAGGTTCAAACACACGGTCCTGGCCATTGCAGCCGTATATTGGAAACAACTTCCTTGGTTCTTCATGGCGATGGCGAGATGTTGTTGCAATAGATGTTGAGACCCTGAATTGGAACCAGATCCGAATAGATTATAACACCCTTACAGATTCTTTGTCATCCATGTTAAATTAACATTAATGCAACACCTGCCTGCCTAATTTTGTTCCCGTTCCGACTTCCGAGTCTACAAACTCTTCATTAATTTTAATCAATAACATGTCACTCCCCACTCATCAAATTTTCATTTTGGCTTGATTAATTAGCATTCTTCAATCGTGTGATAGTCTGAAGATTGGAAGCAATTCATCTCGGTAATTAAGGAGGCGTTCTACAACATAAATGTTTTTGGAATCATCACATCAGCAAAAAAACAAAAATATGTTCTTAAACTCTATTTTTGTTTTCAAAGGGAAATACAAGTTAGTTTTATTAAACAACAGTACATGTTTTTAAAACTCAAAAAATTTTGGTTTCTAAAACAAAAACAAATACTTTAGTATAGAAATCATATGATTTATGAAACATAATGTTGAATAAGCAGATGAAACCATGCTTTTGAAACCAGATGAATTTAGACAATATCCTTTTATTATTTAGTTATTTTTTCCACTAAAACAAAGCAATAAGTCATTCAGTTGAGCAACAACTTCAGCCGTTATCAAATGGCCCCTAACCACTTACTGCGCTTATATTCATCTATCTGCCCCCTTACACCAGGGTGGGGGTTCCCCCCGGCTTGTATAGCCCCGTGAAATAAAAAAAAATCTTCCCTCCAGGGCTCCCACCCCCCAGAAAAATAATAAAAAATAAATATATAAAAGTCTGAAAGGTAATAATAAATCAGAATACAATCAATCATTCACAGACAACCTCTGCATTCGTTCTTTCATGCTCAATAAAGTAACATCTGTAGTGGATAAAATAGATACAACAATTCTTGTACAATGTGCTGTTAACCGGTTCCCAAAACACTACAAGAAATATGCACATTAGTAAGTTTAACAAATGAAAAGTAAGAGCAAAAATATATGTCCATGTCGCAGCGAGTATATTCACATGTTGCACGGCAGTCGAGCTTGACTACTTACATTTGTATGCACAGCATATGGTAGAACGATCAAAATTCTATACCACTATTCACCTGAATAGAGAATGATGGCCTGCCAACGTTGCTGAGAGGGGTTTCAACTCTAAAAACTACACCTGAGCTTCCAACATCCCCGTTCCACCTAGACCTGCCAAGCTATGTTTCACAGGGAAAGAAAACATTTCAGATACATTTGAAAGAGAAAAATTAACTAGATAAGAAAATTGTGGGGAGGTAAAAGAAAAAAAATTTTCATTCCTTCGAATTAGCTAAACAAAGTAACGGGAGAATATATGGTGTATGTAAATAGTCATCAATGAGTATCTTAAGTATAAACACAGATAACAGAATGGATTTATCAGCTTTCTGCTAATGATGGAACATAGGGTAGCTTGCCCTCATAATTCATATAATGACCTTCTCCGAGATCTACTATATAAATCAATTAGTTTAATTCCCTTCTTCAAAATTATAATTAGAAGGAAAAAAATGAGCATATTGCTATCATAATTGATCCTGAAAGTTGGACAAAAAATGTAGTGCCTGAAAAACAGTAGTATACCGTGGCAAAAAAGATCACATAATTTATGAATCACTCAAAGTCGGAACGGTATTGCCACCACATTTTCTTAGTATCTCATTAAAGATCATACCACGATGATGATCAAGATGAGTAAAGATCAGACCATTATTTTAAGAAACAAAATCATTGAGTGGCTTTTTCAACTGATTGCCTTCAACTTGAGCTGTGTGTGTGTTTATATATTAGTTTTTTCTTTTTTTTTTGGAGGGGGGGAGCAAGAGAGAGCACAAAATTTCCACAGTATTAAACGTTGATTACTTACAGATAGTGAAGCAAATGCAGAAGGATTAGTTGTACAAGTACAGCCATAAATCAGACTGAGTTTGTCCTTCAAAGAATGAATGACCTCCGCATGTAACCCAGGATTGCTTCCACCAAAAGTTGGGCATATGCTGAAGAGTTGTTTAAAGAAATAACTAAATAAATAATAAAGGAAAATTCATAATTAACATAAACGGAAAAATCAAGTGAACACCCAATATAGATAGGACAGATGCAAACAATAGTAATTCAACACGGTAAAGCACCAATAAATGTTGAAAGGAGTAATCATAGGTTTGTCAACAAGAGCCTGTTTCACATGGATTGCTTTTCCTGAAAGTTGTGTGCTAACTCTCAGTTGACCTGCTCTAGCAGGAAAATACATATCATCGTGCAGGAAGCAAGATGAATATTTGGAAATCAAGAGCCTACTGTGGGCAGCAAAACACTATAACCTCTAAACGAGCACAGATTCTCATTAAAAAAACTTAAAACAGAACCAAACACTCATACAGGAAAAAATGGAAATTGAGTTTGAACATACTGGTAAAAGATAAGGACATTGCAAATCAGTACTTCAACCAAAACTTGTGTTAGATATCTCATAAACAAAAGCCATAGGAAGAATGCAATTAGACAAACTAATAGAAGATAATCCAAATAAAAAGCATCTACAGCCTACCTGAATTGGATAGTAGGCCTTATCATGAGACCAGATCTCTGCCAAGCTAAGTCTTGTGAAAGGCCCAGGGAAAAGGATTTATCAGGCCATTGCACCATTGGAGTAATGCATGTTCCCCACTTATTCTGCAAGAAAAAATCAAGATTGATATTCACTTCCATTAGAAAAGCAACTCTAGGAATAATCGTGATAACACAGTTCATTCAAATCCACTATGCATACGATGTCATCATGTTCCACGACATTAATTGGTCAGAAGAATCACCATGAAAAAAAAAGGGTTTCTAGCAGATAAAGGCAACTTTTTGCCTTTAATATTAAAAAAAGATAATAATTTTATATAAAAACTAAAATAGGGTAAAATTTTTAAAAAAATATCAAGAAAGGGCACTGCTTGTCTTCCTCCTCTCGCTCTGTATTCGTGGGAGGTTAAGGTCGCCGGCGACAACTATGCCCGTGGACGAAACAACGCAAACCCAAAACAGGACAGTCGGTGTAGTTACATAGTATCGCTCCCTCACTTATCAAAAACCAACAACAGCAGTGACATTCGTCTCTGAGAAGTGAGAACTCAGAAGCAGAGCTCTACGGCCATGGCGGACGAGAAAACGGAAACCCGAAACAACGCCAGGCTGGCCATACTGGAGCTCGCCAACATGATCAGCGTCCTGATGTCCCTCAACACCATCGTCCGCCTCAAGGTCCCCAACGCCATCTGGCAAGGTAGTTCCAATGTCCCTCTCTCCGCCTCTGAGATCTTAGCATGTGTCCTCCCAACCAGCGATCAAGAAAACCTCCAGCGCATCCTTCGAATGCTCACCAGCTATGACATCTTCTTGGAGCACATTGCCGACGACTCCTTGGAGCTAATGCAGAAGACCATGTCGGGGGTATCCGTGCCGTTCATGCCATTCATGAAGGCAATATTGGAGGGCTACGATGGGTTCAAAGGGGTGGAGCACAGGAATGTTAGGAACATTCGCATGAATAGAGAGAAGAGGAGGAAGACGAATAACAGTGCCCTTTCTTGATATTTTTTCAAAAAATTCACCCCATTTTAGTTATTATATAAAAATATTACTTTTTATTGATATCAAGGGCAAAAAGTTGCCCTTATCTGCAAGAAACCCAAAAAAAAAGCAAGACAAAACCAAAGGAAAAGGTTTATCTTGTTACCTTGCAAGAATAGCTAAATTTCATTTCTCCTGGATATTGACCCTGAGCTTGAAGCAAGCCACCAAAAACAGGTAGAAAAGCACTCGAAGTTAGCCCCTCACCAGCCACATAGGTAAACTGTCCATTTGGAAATTGTAGATCCATGAACGACTGAAAAAGAAGGTAAAGTTAGATGGCTCACCCCAAATGCCCCACAGGCTAAGAGGAATCTTGCAGTAATAATGGTATTGCTTTCAGAAACAGAGACTGATTTAAATAGTAATCATTAGGAACCAGTTGTCTAACCACCACAGTAACAGATATTCATGGGGGCAAGTTAAATAAACACAGAGGATAACTATCATCTCTGTCCCAGCAAAAATGAGGTCCTAAAACACTTGGAAGGCACATAAGAAGATAGAAGCTACAGACTACAGGAGCAAAACATATCAATATGAAATGGGAGGTTATCCAAATAATTTAAGACACAATGATTAACCCAAAATACAGGGGAAAATAATTTTGTTCATAGCTCCAAAGGATAGAAGCAATCCATATTTCTGCATTCCTTCTCTTGCTAGCAAATTTCTCATAACCTGTAGAAAATAAATAAATAATTTATCTCCAAAAAGGCCAACACACTAACTCTATCACAACCATCCTAGGTTCTTGTCTAATCCACCCCTCCTAAGATACCAGACAGCCAGGACCAGCACTGGGTATGCCCTTTTACTCCCATGTTCAAAGATGCTCATGCAGACAACTTTTGTGTCAAGTAGTCAGAAAATACTAATGAACACATTGCATGTATGAAAAACAGACTATCTGTGTGTGCTTGTGTATACTCCATATGAAAAAAAAAATGTTTGATTCTCATTAAAAAATATATTTTCCAGATGAATAAGCTCTCTGCTCAAGCATACTGCAAGATAAAGAGGGGCTATTTTATATAAGAAAAAGATATAAAGAAATATAGGATTATACAAATGTTCAGAAAGTAGAAATCTTATAGTGGACTAGCTCCAAGGTTCAAAGAATGCCTACACCAAACAACTTTTGCAAATGAGTCCACATCCTAACAAGCACATCCACATATATGAGAAAGCAAAACATCATGATCCTCCAGATCAATCAGATAGAGAGGACTATGGGGGAATATCATGCAAACTAGACTCCAAAGCCATATGCATTAGGAACCCATTGCTGGTTCTGCATTGCAAGACTGTATAAGCAAAGGTATAATCAGATATTTGAAAGAAAAGGGAATCCCTTAAGGCTTAAGGGCAATGTCTTTTCCATTTTAGATCAACAATATTGGCATTGGAGTTCTTAAAAGCATGACCTTTGGCAACCTAAGGAAAAACTTGAATGAGGTACTTCCTCATTCATCCTAGATATACTCCTGTCCCTTGCCTAATAAATAGAGCAATAGCACTACAAGGTGAGGTTACAATATGGTAGATCTACCAGTAACCCCAGTCCAATGGGCCTTGGAGGATTTCTTTTTTTCTTTTTTTGATAATTAAGGTGATGCTTATTGTATTAACTAAGTAATACAAAGACTAAAAAATAGATTTTTTTTTGGAAAAGGTAAAGTAATATTTATTGATAAGGAATTACACACAGGAAGCTGAGATCAGACCCGGAACAGGCTGACTGGTCAAATCAGCAAATACACTAACCATCAAGAAATAGAAAAAATACATCTGACACATTACAATTTCTAAAATCTGCAGCCACAGACAACCAAGATATCAGCTTGCCCATTGACTTCTGAATTAACTCTTCCGGTCTTAGAAACTTGTTGCTGAAAATCCTTCTATTCCTCTCAGTCCAGATGGACCAAATTACAGCAACTGGAACCATCTTCCAGTCAGTCTTCTTTTTCTTGCTCAAACCCATAAGCTGTCAGCAACACAACAGCTCTTTAACCGACCTCAGCATCACCCAACAAACCTTCGAAGAGCTGAGGAAATGGTTCCACAACTGAGCAGAATACGGACAATGGATACACAAATGATCAGTAGATTCAGCACTGCTCCCGCATAGACTGCAAGACAAGTCTGAAACCTGAATTCCCCTTCTCACTAGGTTCTCCTTAGAAAGAAATTTATTAAGAGCCATAGTCCAAACTAGGAAGCTGGCTTTTGTTGGGCTGTTGGGATTCCACACTTGCCGATCTGGGAAATCAGGAACACCCCTCCTACCAAGATTAGCAGCCAAAGATTTAACAGAAAACACCCCATCAGAGTTCCACTTCCAATGCCACTTATCCTCCGAACTGTAATCCAACTCTTGGTTTTGAAGACAGGTCAATAGATTCACAACCTCTTCCACCTCCCAATCAAAAAGATTCCTTCGAAATGAGGGAGTCCAAAGAACTGAACCAACAGAAATACTGTAACACTCTGCAACTGAGGCCCCTTGATCCGAAGCACACTGGAAGAGGAGGCGGAAGGACTCAGCAAGAGGTTCATCTGAGCACCAAGGGTCCTTCCAGAATTTGGTCCTGTTACTATTACCAACCCTAACTGAGACCCCCTTGGCAGCTGAAAAGTTCTTCATTATCCCTTTCCATAGAGAGTTACCCCAGTTGGGAGGAGGGTCCCTAGTTCTCCAATTGCCCCAATTCACACCAGATTTGCTGGCAATGAGAGATCTCCACCATGCATCATTTTCTACAGCAAATCTCCAAATCCACTTACAGAGGAGAGCAGAATTAAACGATTTCAGCTTCCTTATACCTAACCCCCCTTCAATTTTGGGGAGACAAACTTGCTCCCAGCTCACCAAGTGCACTTTTTTCTCCTCCTCCCAGCCTCTCCAAAGAAAACTCCTCTAAAGCTTTTCAATCTGATTTGCAACCTTGTTAGGAATATAGAATATAGTTGTCAAGGCAATGCCAAGGCAATAAGGCGCCCATGGAGGGACTGTGGATTTTACTCCTACAGGAGTTGAAGAGAGGGTGTGGGTACCAAGTACTAATGGCTTTCCTGTGTTTCCTTCTTTACAACTCTTCACTTACCTACTGAGGCAAATCCTTTTCCTGCTAAAGAACTATGATGTGGTCTCATTCCCCTTAGGTTGTGTTTGGTTTGAAGGAAAAAGTAGGGAAAGGTAGGGAAACCCATACAAGGTTTGTAAAGGTTTCCCTACCTTTCCCTTTCTTTGCCTACTTTTTCCTTTAAACCAAAAATGGCCTTAAGGTAAAGGTTTTCTGTTGGGACTCCAAAAGAAGAGGAAAAACTGGTTTCTCTTCCCTCATGTGTTACTTTTGCTACTTCGGTGCAGGAACATTTTTATCTCCTTGGCTGGAAGGAATTGAGTGGTAGTAAAAGAGGTCTTAGACTTGTTTGACACAAGTTGGATGAGATGGACTACCCAGAGACAAAAGATACTATGGCAATGTCTATGGGGGGCCGTGTTATGGAGACTGAGGAGTTGATTGGACCTTTTTTTATAATGTAAGGGTCATATTATCTACAAACCATATTACTGGAATTAAAGAAACAGGAAAATCCCCTACTTTGCATCTAAGTTTCATTCCAGTGTAACATCAATGTCCAAGTTTAAAGACATTAAAATTCATTGTTTGAAAAATCTGGCACATACCTTGAAATGGCCTCACCTTTTTCATTCTTTTAGAATTTTTGCAGCCAATCATCAAGACACTAGAGAATGTATAGTTATATATTGACATGCTACCTATGTCTGTGATATCAACAACATTTACTACCAAAAATACATAGAGAATATTACACACTGAATATTACCAACATATTAACTTTTCTGTGTCCCAAGATCTAAAATTCTAAACACAAGTTCTGAGCTTACACAAGTCAATGGGTTGAGACAAATCATTGACATCACCAGCCACCTTCTATGCTTTGACCAAACAGCTGGACAGAGAGAATGCATTCCATTCTGACAAATACCAAACAATGTATCAATATGAATCAAGAAAAAGAAAATTGATGCAAGAGATTGTCCATATCCAAATCAGAACTTGGGAAACCATTGAAATGCCAAATAGGCAGGAATCAAATCATTGGGAGATAGGAAAGTTGTAATATTTTGTCCTAAGTTTTTGTCTAAAAGCTTGGGATGGTGATCTTTTTTAAATAATGCAAGTGGATATAGTAGAGTTGTAATCTTTTTCATTGAGGGACCCTCTCCCTCTTTTAATTCAATAAAATATACATTTGTCTTCAAAAAAAGAAATACCAAATATGCAGGAATATCCATGCAATTCACTCTTAATACTGTACAATTTTAAGATAACAATCCGTGTATGTTTTTGAGAAAAGGTGAGTTTCATTAAACTCCATGTAAAGGTGATAATAGTCCATGTAAGTTGCAACTTAAAATATGTGAATGCTGAAGACAGAGAGAGGGATAATAGTCCATGTGAACCAATATTGTAAGCTCGATACAAAATGTCATAACCATTAAGACATGTGAAAAAAAATGCCCAATGCAACAAGGTACATTTACTTGTGCATCCACAGTTTTATATCAGCCTATGGGCTTTAATGGTGTGTTGTTTGATCCCAATGGTTCCACTAGTTGTTTGGCCTTTGAATGACATGGTTGTTTCTCTTGTTTTTCTTTTTCTTTCTTTTTTAAGTTTGATTGTTCCTCTTGCTTCTCTGTTCATAAAGCACTCTTTCCATTATCTAGCCCCCAGGTGTGTTTACAGCTAAAAAAAATCTGGCTTGGCCCAACACCCCCAACATAAGAATATTTAGGAGTATCGCACCTGAAAAATTGGGATACCTCAGCACTGATGAATACTTGAGAGATTGGTTCTAAGTGGATTCTTTATCTAATAAAGCTATGATCTCAAGTCAAGAATTGTCCACCACCCCAAGAGGAATATTATTAATCTGAATCTCGATTGCTGCTCCACAAGAAGTCAATACCCCTTCAAGAGTGGAGGTGCTTTTAGAAACCATGTGGGAGATGTTCTTCAGGCATATTTTGGTCCTATAGATAGTGGAGATTTCATATGAGCTGAACATCTCAACATATTTTAACTGTTTCAAAGGTTGATGCAGCGGGATAGAAGTGGAGGAGGATTTGCATTTTGCAATTTGTAATTTAGTGCTTTATCTTACTGATTAAAAAAGGTGCTTCATCTCTTTAGAGAGCCAATTTTTGTCATCAAAGACGAACACTTTGTTCAATTAGGAGTAAAGATCAGCCAAGACTCTTGCTGATTCACCAGCCAGGAAAGATGTAAATTGGGCAGGGTTGTATTGGTCATCAGACCTAAAATTGGGTCAGTTCTCTTGTATTTTTTCACTTGGGGGTGCAAAGCTGGTTCCAGTCTATTGCTCCTTCCTTACTCCTTAGTGAGAGCCTTTAACATTGATGTGTTGTATCTTTCTCATCAAGGCTCTTCTATCCCATTACTTATAGAGAGAAAAAAATTATAAGATCAAAACCATTTTATGGGAAATGAAAATCACAAAATAGCACATCAACATTGATAAGTGCATAGGCAATTATATTGGTAGGGGGTAAAACATGTGATCATTGGAAAAGAATGTAGGACCAGTCATCAACAAGGTTATCTGCAAAAAAAAAAAAACTTATGAACTTAATGCTCTCATTATAACAGCAACAGTGCAATGGGTAACCAACTCCAAGTTGGTCGATACGAAAAAAGAGAAATGACCTTACCTTCCGATCATAACCATACCAAAGAAAGTGTTGCTTTGACAGATGAACTGGCAACAGAAGTGTTCTATCACGAACAAAAAGGACCGGTCCAAGCTGAACAAGGAAAAGTGGGGAATTCTCATTTCCTGAAGTCGACCCCCCATGTGATGCCTCTACTCTCCACAAGTCCCCTCTTGAAACTAAAGAACTTTCAACATCATGTGTTCTACTGTTGTATGTTGATGTAATATTAATGATCCCCTGCATTTAGAGAAAAATGCAACAGTTCTTGAAAACTCTTATCAAATACCATAATCATATAGAAAATAGTTTTTCAAATAAATTACTACTAAAAGAAATCTAAGTTCCAGATTTGATAGATCATTAAATGTAAACTTTTACCAAAAATGTTTCCTAAGAGAACATCATATATCATGCACCCAAGAGTAAAGGTGAAGAAAACGATAAAAAGAAACAATGAGAGTGAAGAGGTGCAAATAAAGTACAAAGAAAATAGAAAGGCAAATAGAAGGATGAAAATTATTCCACATCATACTGATGACAACAAAAAAGAAGAAAGATGTGACAATGCCACCTGATGAACAACTGCCAACTGAACATCATAGGCTTGAGGTACAACTTACTCCACTATCAGTTTATCTAAGTCTTACAGGAGATTTACAGTAGCCTAAAAGCAAGAAGCAAATCTAAAGCACAAGGATCAAAGTGAGGTGTGTGCCTGAACGAAGTAAGGCACCACTTTTGAAAAAGAAATAAAAGAAAAACTTAGTATACAAGAATACACAAATCTATTTTCTGAAAGAAATAAAATATTAAAAAAAAAAACAGTCTATTAGCTCAATTGGTTTAGAGTATTATGATATAACATCTGTACATCTGTACTATATTTCCTTTCATGCAATAAAAATAAAAGTTACTGGTCAGAGAAAAAAGAAGGTTGTATTGGGCTCTGTCTTTTTCTCTTTGCTTTTATGTGAGAGATTGCACCATATTGTGTTATTAACACAATGCTTTTAGCCTTGTACATTCAAGTCTTACATAGGATAAACCATTTAAACTCTAAGCATCATAAATATACATTACAAATATACGATATAATATAGTATATTATTATTCAACATTAATTTAAGGTTAATTCATCAAAACATAGCAACAAGCTATGTGACTCACACTAGGGTTCAGGCAAGGTGCACCTCACAAAATGAGCCTTTCCTGTGACTTGTGCATAGCCACACCACCTAAATACTGGAAGTATATCACATATTACTATCATCTCATCACATCCCTTGATAACTTTATTCTTTAACATATACATTGCATAACATCATTAATATCCTACCCCTTATTTACTTTCCCTAACCTTTTAAAGCAAACAGCTACAGTTTGACCATATTAAACTTTTTTTTGAAGAAAGGTAAAGGAAATTTTATTAATCCAACTGCAAAGCCAATACAGTACAACAAGCTGCTTGGGATGAGAAGGCACAATTACTCACCAAACAATTTGTTACTAAACAATTGATCATTAGACATCATTGAACAATGGGCATTCAAACAGGCTCTTGAATAGGTTCAATGATCACATCAATTATGATTCTGGGATTCTGGTACTAATCAAGGAGTTATGGGTTCCCCTATTCCTAGATCTAATTCATGGAGTACATTCCCAATTTCTTCTCTCTTTCATTGAGATGTGGTACAAGCTTCATGAAATTACGAGGCTCCAATTGCAGATGAAGGACAAAATTGTCTGGACTGCTACATCTAAGGGGGAATTCAAACTGTCGGAAAATTGGCATGGGATGTTTTATAAGAATAGCTCCTAAAGGTGGATAACAATCAGCTTGTTTCATTTATCCATCAAGTGATCAAATTCGCGCACGGCTTCAAGGTTAAGCAACACCTTAAGAACTTTCCAACTCAAGACTTGCTTTAAAAGCTAAAGTTCATACAACTTTGTATTTTGTTGATCGGCAACAGAAACAAGGCATTCATTAATTAAGAAAAAATAAGTACAACAAGAGGTTGTGTGGTTACAATTCAGGTAGAAAATGTGAGCATAGCCCTTGCTACCTTACCCCAACATCATATTTTACATTTGTGTCCAAAACAATTGTTGTCTAGTAAGACCCTGTTTTGCTAACCCATTGGCCAGATTGTTAGCTGGCAGTCTATCAAACTTCCCTGTAGTCATTTCTACCAAATAAAGAGGGAAATGCAAAGACATTTCCAAATGCAATTTTTCCAAGTAGATTTCGCTATTTCCGCTACTCAATTCTAATCACAGAATAATACTTAAATGGTAACCATATAATCAAGAGTTTCAAGACCGTAATATTTTTTCTATATCAGTGAAATTTCTTGTTAAATGATCAAACAAAAAAACTTGATTAGTAAAACATTACCTGAGGTTTTCCAAAATGTTGAGCAGATTTTGGATTAAAGGTAAAACTCTCTTCATCCATTAATTTATCGCTAGTATAGTTGTTTTCTGCAAATCCGTATTCCCTAAATTGCTCTGCCAGTGATTCAAAATCCTCCCGCCTATCCACCACCACATCCCTTCTTCGAGTCTCCGCATCTACCCTAAGAGGCGCCACCTCAATCTCATCTTGCCGAAATGGCACAGACAATCTACGGAAGAACTGCTGAACGACTCCATTCAAGCAAGCCCCGAACTCTGCCCCAGCTTGGCCCAACCTATTCCCAATATCAAAGATTGTAGAAACCCCATTGATCCCAGAATTATCCGTAGCTAGGCCAAACTCCCTTTTTCCGAAGCTCTGGTTCGGGAATTCAACATCAAAGAGCTTCGGCTTCTGGGGAGTTGGCCATGAGAAAGAGGACTGGTTTATGTGAGAGTGAAGCAATCCAGTAAACCCCTGTGCAAGCCGATCCGCCAAATCTTGCCCATGCCGTTGCACTTCCTCCCATGCTTCAAACGATATCTGTACTGACATTCGGTAGCAACTGTGGACTTTGTCCTCTCAAAACGTATTCAATCAGGACGAAAATTTAAACAAGAAAAAAAAAAATGAAAACTTTCTACGAATTCAAAAGACTATCTAGTGTTTGCTGTCGGGGGTAAAAGTAGTTGCAGGAAACGAACATGGCAAGCAAAGAGTGAAATTCAGGTTTAAGTATCAGAAGAACCTCGAAACAGTTACAGAGGAGGAGGAGAAGAAGAAGAAGAAGAAGAAGAAGAGCTGGAAAAAAAATAGGGTTCTGGTAGCGCCTTAATTCTCCGGAATTAGATAGAGGCTGATGATGTTCGTGAACTTGGAGACCGCGTGCGTCACCGAAACCAATCCGTTCGAGAACGATGAATGGGATGATGGGGATGTATTTCAAAAGGCGCGGGGGTGCGTATGGCGCATCCATACATATAAGCTCTTGACTCTTGAAGTACGCGCGTTACTCGGTCGGGTCGATTATTAATCGGTTTATAAACCCAAAGTTAAACCAATTATTTTACCGGAATAATTGGGTTTGATCCGATTAGAGCCGATTGTACTATAATAAAATAACTGTATTTAGCCAATATTGTTTTACATAATTCATATGAAATTATAAAATACTTATTCGGTCAATGGTTCGCCATTGACCGGCTATAATTTTTTTTCTTCTTACGGTTTCGAGAGATTTGTATTGATTTGTCATCCAATCAAATTTATCACCATAAAGAGAGAGAGAGATAAAAGCGTTTGATGATTTTTTTTGGGGGGAGTAAAGCGATGGATGAATCAATATTTAGGGTTGATATCAAAGTGAGAGCAGCTTCTTTCAATCACTAACTGTGGTCTGTGGGAAAAATGGTGCCATGTGGAGCTTGTAAAATCAATCAATTTGTGAATATATATATATATATGATGTAGGCGCACACAGCCACGACCAATAGCATGCACGCATGCAGCTGACGGTGGTGCTCAGGGCTGACCCAATGAGGGTGCCTGCAGAATAGGGGTCGGTGTGCGACACAGAGCCAATGGCACGGAGGCCTCAGATGGCCGTGCTCCTCGAGGCCAGATTGCATCCTGATTGTCCAAGTCCACCTACCACCAGGTGGCCTCAAGGGGGCAATTCTCTAAGGTAGACATCTAAGACTCTGGATTACTAAAAGCTTTATAGCTTCTTATGTGATCTCGTCTAAGCACTCCTTACTCAAGGCCTTGTCCACTTCCTATTATACCCCCCTCCCCCGCACTAACTTAATTGTTGGAGTCTCTACCTTGGGTTAGCACCCAGGGCCTCTAATGTCTTCTCTCTCCTCACAGGTTTGGCCTATCAGCCCTCGGCCATGACAAACTTCAGACTTCTTAGCCAGCCCTCTACTCAGAAGCACAATTACCTTGTTGCCCCAGCCCATCCTAGGTGGCAACAATATATATATATATGAAGACTTTCACTTTAGTACCTTGAGTTTGGCTATGTTTGGTTTGAAGGAAAAAGAAGGAAAAGATAAGAAACCTATACAAATTCCTTATCTTTCCCTTCCTTTCCTTACTTTTTTCCTTTAAACCAAACATAGCCTTAGGGGTAGTGTTAAGTTAGTACTTGAACTTTTAAAATGTGTCACTACAATACATAAACTTTCAAAAACTGTCAATTTGGTCCCAACCATTAATCAACACTAATGTATAAGTGAAATGACACAAATACCCCTAATGGTCTATAGAAGAGAGAAAATATTTTTTTTAAAATATTAAAATTACGCCTTTTAAACCTTTATTGATTTAGATCTAGAACCTCTGTTAACAACAAACACCAGATGTCCTACTCAAAGTTGCAGCGTTCGCTGTCGACGAGTTCATCTTGGAAATCGTTACAGAAGAGAAATCCCAGTGTGTTCAGATGTTGTCGGAGAGAAATTACCCCTTTTAAACCGAACTCGGATTTCCTGCACTCGATTTCATGTGTGCGGAGGTGCATTTCCAATCAAATTGGACACATCAAGAGTTCACACAGTATCCTGGCACAAATGTTTAAGCCATTCAAACGTTCAGTTTGCTCGTTTTTCAAACTTAGAAAATAAAAGAATTGTAAAAACTAAAAGAAAAAAAGTAAAAAAGGGAAATTTTAACAGTGTTGCCTCTCTTTGCTTATTTCATTCATCGACCAGAAAAGGGTTCAATGGCTGGTGATCCTCTTCATCTTATCTGAAAAGTAAATATATGTTTGACATCAATGCTGCAGATACAGTACCGTTTTCTCGTAATATTTAGAGTTCATTTTGCCTCTTATAGGACGCTTTTTTTTCCTTCAGCCAGGGTACCTATCAGTACCAACTGAGCATCAATTGGAAAAGGATGTAAGCCTTCAAGGGGCATAATTGAACCCAAATCACAAATATATTGGAAAAACTTCAGCTGTCCATGCTCAATAGCCTGGGCTGTCAAGACTCCTTGATGACACGTTGCCACCCAATAATGTATCCAGAACCAACTGTTACAGAAGCGTGGGATAGCCCAGGCTGCCTGAATTTGAACAGCCGAAATTTTTCTCCAAATATTCAAGGATATATAATCAACCCACCATTCCTTATATCTTTTATTAATTTATTTAATTTAGCACACAACACATCTTAAATGGAGACACACTTCAAGAATTCAAGTGATGATTAAATTTGGCAACTTCCCTCTTACTCCAAGCTTTGGGCTTTTGAGTCATAACTATAAAGTTTAGAAATCACAAAATAACAATAGTTGTGTTTAGTACAATTATTGTTTTTACTTGCACATTTTGGGTTGATCAATACAAATGAATGAAAAATACATATGTTGTAAAAATATTAAATATATTTGTCACCAATTTGTATTGAGCAACCCAAAAGTTTCAGGTAAAACAGCAATGGTACAAACACAACCAACACTTAAAAGATCTTGTAATTCCAGTTTTTTAGAAGTCATATATTCCTCCTTTTTGCCTCCACTGTCTTGTTAGACTTGTTAGATTCTTCCTTGGTCTTCAACCTTAATGCTTCTTTTGCCATCTCTAGAGCTAGCTTTGACAAGGTTCTCAAGGCAAGCATCAACATCTCCTGCAAGTGTTTTAGGCATTAAATTCTATACAACATCAGCAGGGTCATTTTGTCTTCCTACATCAACTGACCAATTTGCGCATCAACATGGGTGGGTATGGGTTAGGTTGGGTTGCAACTTGCAACCCATGTAGATATTATAGATTGTGGGTTACAAATGGATGTAGTAGGTTTTTGGTTGATGGATTGGCCTTCAACACGCATCCAATCCAATTCAACCCATCCATTTGCCACCCCTTCATCTAAGGATATGGGATCTCCTCCCCACAAAAAACTCTACATGTTCCTTGAAAGCACTAACATCAACCCAGGAATATCTACAGTAGATTGGATGCCAGTGCTTTCAGGGTACATGCAGAGTTCTGTGACGAAACCAGGGTTCTTATCCAAGGGAGTATTCTACAACAGGAATGCCTTTTGTTTTTATTTGTTTTTTAAATTGTCACAGAAATAATAATAAAATTACAAAAACACAATCTTGAACTGCCTTCTTTGTTCTGAAAAGCAAAAAACAAGTTGGTTTTTGTTTCAAAAAGCAATTCATGATTTTGAAACCATCAAATGGTTTTTAAAACAAAAACAAATACAGATATTAGATGCTAAATGATTTATGAGAAATGATATAAATAACAAGAGAGCATGCTCTTCAAACCAGGAAAAAACAAGTAGGGCTCTTTGGGACCCCAATCATGTTGCACGTGGCAGATTGCTGTTTAGATTTCTAAAAATGACCTACAGCCAGACATTTTATCTAATAATAATTGAAGATTTGCAAATTGTGTTAATTCATCACGCTATTTTATAAGGGAAAAAAAACAAAAGCATAGTCACAATGTTTTAAAGGCTAGAAAAGCCAGGCTATCATTCACTTTCGCATCTTTCACTGAAATAGTGTCACGGTTTATTTAACTATCATCTTGGATAGGATTTAGATACTCTAATAACTTTCCTCTTCGTCATGATTCCTGAAGTCTGGTTTAATAGTTTTGATGATAGTGAAGCGGTTGAATAGTCAAAACCATCTGGTCAGATCAGAGCCAGAGTTTGGGCCATATGGCCTCAAATGGTGGACCATGGAGGCATGGGTTTGTGGTGTCTTCTGAAATGGCAACGAAAGGAAGAGAAACTATGAAGGCGATGTCCATCAAAGGGATTTCAGTTGAAAGGGGACGGGAGTTCATGAAATATTGTATCCAGAAAAGCAAACAACAGTTTACCATGTCCCACATCACTTGAGTAGAGAATCATGACCTCCATTAATTGTCACAATATACTAGCATTACAGAAAGCATTTTAAACAGCATATGCAATCCATAAGCAATATGCCACTAGTATTGACATTTGGCAAATTCAAAAAGTTAAGAAAAGACAAGATTGAATTATCTTATCTTGATGTTCCAGAAACTAAACACCCCTGTAGAAAACAATTTAGCAGGTTGATGGGAAGTTCCTCAAGCAAAGAAAATATTTGTAACGCACATGAGGTATCTTCCTTTTGACTGGCATGATGATTATACCCAAGATGATTTAAAAAAATAGAAATACACGGTCAGCCATCACAACTTTACCTCGAAATTCAGTTGTGTTGAAAATGCAGCTTTGTGTTATGCCATTAATGAGAAAACCAGAGACAGTTATTTCTCCACTCTTTCTTCAGCATTTAAATATTATCAGACAATGATGACAAGAAAACCAAGGGTTCTCCTGCTGAATGTGAGTGAGACAGGAACAGCCAAACAAGCAACCTGAGTGCACAAGAGGGCCTCATATAACCAGAATTCGAAGTTCATAGACCTCTTGACCTCCATGGTATTATTGGTTGAGATTGATCACCTCATTAAGCAATCTTCTGATTGAAGTTTTTGTTTCTCTGGGCACTTCTAGCTGTGGGTGAACCAAATCCAAGGAATATTCAGTGAGAATTTTCATCACATCTGCCGAATTCAAATTATCCGCTTTCAATATTTTTCTATTTGCAAAATTGCATGAACTTTTCAGTTTGCAAGAACCACATACCTGAAAGAAGACATGACATACAAAAGGATAAAACCAAAGGATTGAATTCTCAAAAGCATGACTCAAACTTAAATGGAAGCAGTTTAATTGTGAACTACTTACCATATCTTCATAAATGCCAAAGAAAGTACGCAATCTTTTAGCTGCAAATACAGTATCCCTCGCAAGGGAAGGGCAACCAAATAGGGCAACTGTTTTTAAGTCACCAACTGACAAGCATCTGCAGAAGCAAATTTCCAGATTTCAAATGTCACACTATATAAACAAGTTACAACAAGCTAGACACTAAATGACAAGGTAATGAAAATAAAGCACCAGGCATCAATTGCAGTGTAAATTGTGCCAAAAATTTATATCCAAATTGAATATACCGACAAAATTGTTTTCAGTTTTCCCTGTTTTTTCATGCATACGAGACACAGACACATATGCAAGAGAAGATCACTACCACCACCATCAATAGCAACCACATAAATAAAAAGTGGTTGGACCCTATTTATTACTATATTTTAGTAAAGCTACTAAAGGCAAATTTCTATAAGCATTATCACTATTTACAAATTATAACAGGTTATCAGAATTCAGAAGGAAGATTATTTGCAGTTCATCATGATATAAGTATAACAAATAATATGCTTTTTCTGTCCTTTGTAATAGAGTGCATGATATGTCATGCACTGCAAATCTCTACAATTAAAATCTCTTACATATTTGACAAGTAAAAAACACAATAGGGAATCTGCATCCCCTACCACTAAGCCCACAAGGTTTTAGTTCTATGGCCGCAGATCTGAGGATATTACAACCATCCAGGATGTATTGACATTGCAGTGGGAGTGTGGCAGTGTGCTCTGCTAGAAGTGGTGGCCTTTTAGTTCAACAACTGGTGGTGCTCAACCCAGTTACAGCAGCAACAGATGATCTTTTAGTTAACCCAGTTCACAGAAGGGATAGTTTGATGGTCCCCACAATAAGTTGGACCAGTTGAACCAGAATTTAATTCAATGTCATTAACTAGACAATATATATTGTCAAACTTTTAGTTAACCAAAATACCCCTATTTTTGAATTTGGCCCCTCTCTAATTATGAGGGTAGAAATGTAATTTGAACCACTACTTTTCACCTCATTCAATTCCCTCTCATTAAGACCAATGTTTTTCTAAACCGACCCAAAAGCAAAACCATTCTTCCAACCTAGTGGTGAGTAAGCAATTCAACCATCGGAGTCAAATGGTCAAGCCATGAGTGAATAGTTACATAATAAAACTTTTAAAATAGAAATAAATACAAAAATAAAAATAAAAATAAAAGAAATTATAGAAAAAAGTGGGTACATCTCTAACATTTTATATTGATCATATAAAAGAAAAATAAGTGTGATAAACAATAAGTGTTTTTACTGTCTCAAAAATGAAATTGTTCTCCTATTCGGTGGTGGGTCAACAGTTCAAACTTCAAACTTTATAGGTCAAATGTGTCAAACCTTGATGTCAGAATTATATAATAAAAACTCAAAAAAAGAAACAAATACAAAAGTTCACTAATATTTTATATTAATCATAATAAAGAAAAATAAATGTGACAAACAAGAACTGTTTTTATTGATGACGGAAATGAAATACAAAATTTGAAAACAACTGTGGGGTGTTAATGATTTAACCTTTTAGGTCAAATGTGCCAACCCTTGATATTATAATTAAATAATAAAAAATAAAATAAGAAGATAAAAACACAAAAAAATATGAAAAATACAGATATTTTGTAGAAAACATTTGGCCAAATCTCTAATGTTATATATTCATCATATAAAATAAAATTTTTAAAAGTTAAAAAACAAATTGTACAAAAATTTGGGCATATCTCTAATATTTTATATTAATCATATTAAAGAAAAATAAAAATAAATGTTATAAAAAATAACTGATAATGAAATGAAATAAAAAATTTAGAACTAACCCAAAAGTGAAATTGTTTTCCTGTTTGGGAGTAGGGTTAATAGTTCAACCCTTTTTCTTTTGATAAGTAAAGTAAAATTTCATTAAAAAACAATAGTACAATCTCATGGGTGAATACCCAGAAACTCCCCTAACTTACTCCCCAGATCCTCCTTATTGATTTGCCTAAACTCTAGGAGAACCAAGACCCAGTCTACCACAAATGAATCAACCCTTGATGTCATATTTAATAATAAAAATTAAAAAATACAAAATATACATAAATTTTGTAGAAAACATTTGGGCACATCTCTAATATTTTATATTAATCATATTAAAGAAAAATAAGTGTCATAAAGAAGAACCGGTTTTATTGATGATGCAGATAAAATACCAAATTTAAAACTGACCCAAAAATGGAATTGTTTTCCTATTTGGTGGTGGGTCAATAGTTTAACCTTTTTGTTAGAGAATAAAAACCTATTCGGGGACTTCACCTAACAACTTAAGCTTTCAACTTTTATTCAGTGATTTAAAAGGTGTTTCTGAGGCGCAAGGCATATTTTGGGGTATACGCGCCGTCTAGGTCCTAGGTGCACCCCTGGTGTGCCTAGGCGTACACCTGATGCGCTTTGCGCCTCAGCCCAGGCATGCGCCTTTTTAAAATTTTGCGCTTTTTGCTTTTTTTTTTTTAATCTAACAGACCCCCGACCACGCCCCTCAAGATAAGCCTGAACAAGTCTATATTAGGGTTTGAAATTCTTAGAACCCCCCATTTGCTAATGTTGTTCAGTTGTTCATTCATTCATTGCAATAAAATATCTTCTTAAAAGGCAATGAAAGTTATAAAATCATTATTTTTTATGTGAGAAATAAGAATTTTAGAACCTAACATAGACTTGTTCGGGCTTGCCTCGAAGGACATGGTACAAAGGCGACTCATAGAATCAAGAATGCAATATGTTTTACATCACATTAGCTACTTGAAGCAATGCAATTAAGGAAAAAAAAAGAGATTGTGGGTTTTACATGCTTAAAAATGCTTTATATGTTTGCTTTTATTTTTAAATTTTCACTTGAATACGCTTTACATGTTATGTTTATGTATTTTAATTTTAGATAACAGGTTTTTTAAAACATTTATTTTAAATTTTAAGTTTATATTTTTTATTAACATTATGTTTAATATTTTTTTATTTTTTATTTTTTTATTTTTTGGCATTTTCTTAATTTTTTGACTTTTTTGATATTTTGGCTTTCTTTTTTTGTAATTTTGCATCCTGCTTAAAAAGGTGTGTGCCTCGCCTTGCACCTCAAGCGCAAATTGGCCCTTGCGCTTTTTTTGCGCCTTGCGCTTTTAAAATACTGCTTTTATTGTAGTAATTCAGGTGTACTATGGGTCATTTCAATGATTGGTTATTCCCAGGAATTTCGTATGCCAAGTATAAAAGTGGCCTCGTAGGTGGACTAAAGGTCTTCAATTCTCCAACTTTTGCAATGACAAGAAAACATAATATTCAGTTTATATCAGTGTTTTAAAAGGCATAGGAAGCATTGATATCTTTGAGGTGTATGCCTCATACACCTTTTTCCTGAGACATGCTAAAGGCATACACCTCATGTGCTTCACGCACACCTCATACAAGAAGACAGAAAAAAAAAAAAAAAGAAAAAAGAAAGGAGAGGAAAAGAAAGGGAAGGGAAAAAAGAAAGAAAGAAAGAAAGAAAGAAAGAAAGAAAGAGAAGAAAAAAAGAGAAAAGAAAGAAAAGAAAAGGGAAGGGAAGGAGGCTCACACCTTCTTCTTCCTACTTCTTCCTCCTCATCCCCCTCCTCTTAAGGAAGCTTATGCCTCTTATGTTCTTAACTATGCCTCATGCCTCTAGGTAGTGGAATGCCTTGCATCACGCCTCTGCATTTTAAAACATTGGTTTATAGTGGGGGTGGGCATATGCAAATGTTCTAAAATTCTATACTTGATCCTTTTGTATGGAGGGTCTGCCCCAAATCATACTTTTTAGTACATTTAATACAAGCATATCAGAAAAATGGACAAAATTCAACCTTTGGTTTGTTAGTACTTTGAAGTTTTAATAAGTTTAGAATTTTTTTATTAATATGAAAGAAGGAATAGTAGGAAAAATGATCAGTAGGGTACATATAAATTGAGAGAAAGTAGACTAACATGGTTCAATCACAAGCATAGAAGACCATCTACAGCACCCATGAGAAGAAACAATCTATTACAAGTTGAAGGGGCTAAAAGGGCTAGGGGCAGACAAAAAGGGCATGGGTTGTAGTAAGAAATGATTTAAGCACTCATAATGCATATGGCACTAAACAGATTGGAATGACAAAACAGGATTCATATAGCTGACCCCATATAGTTGGGTCAATGATTGGTTGATGATGATAAAGTCATGATAAATTTTAGATTTTATATACTGTGTTGCTTATAGATAGGGCGATAGGCTACTCATAGTCTAAGGTTGTATTTAAATTGTGCGGGTAGGAAAGGAATCCAATTTTGCTCCATCGAATTCGGGAGAAGTCAAATGACTTCCTTTCCATCTAGGAAATTCAGAATCCACTAAAACATGGTAACTTAATGGTTAAGGCTTAATATCTACTAGTTTCTTAATTCTGCTCCGCTATAGAACAGGATAATGATACAAGAAAATGTGGGGTTCCCATCTAATACAGTGTGGTGCAAGGAAATACCTTACAAGGTAGGATTTCTCATATGGACCACTTACTTAGATAAGATTCTCACTAAAGACAACCTGTTGAAATTGATACGTTTTTTATAAAAGACAACCTTTTGAAGAGAGGAGTTTTGATTGACTCCTCATATTGTACCCTGTGTATTGAAAGGGTGGAATAAATGAACCATTTACTGATTCATTGCAGGTTCATCTATGAATCTGGAGCAAAGTTTTCAGATGTTTTGCTCTTAGAGGTTGCTGTCCTGATTTGCTGGAAATATTCTTGAAGGGCTGGAATTTGCAAGGGCTGAGTAGGAAAGGAAAGGTCATTTGGCAAATGACTCTTCAGATTGTGTTTTTGGGTAGTGTGGCAGGAGAGAATTGCGAGGGTGTCCTGGGTGACTAGGCGTCCCACTATCACCTAGAACCGCCAAGGTACCTTAACAACTATGGTGCTACTTAACAACTCCTGACCCATTATGTGGCAATCTAACTTGCACACTTTTAGTTATACAAGGAAAAAGACAAAACAAAGAAAGATATTGAAATTAAGAGCTTCATAGAGCATAGTCACGATGTCATTCTCACTACACCATGCATGGTCTCAGTCCCATCATAATTGATCATTCATTCTAGGCCAATTCATGTTAAATAATAGTAAATACTGTGAAAGGTCAAAGTGCTCAATTCATCCAACCCACCCAATTCGTACTGCTATGTGACCATTCATTCCTTGTTTTCTAGACTCCTAGGCATGAATGAATATATATCAAGAACTTGGGTTAATATTACCATCAATCAAGAACACCAATGTTGCCTCAATTACGATTGCCACTACCTACTAACTTCCCCATACCTCTTTCTACTTCCTCTCTGGCATCTGATATTCTGAACAATATCCTAGAAATAATATTACTTATTTTGTCAGAACTCATGGTTTCATACAAGATCATTCGTAATGTTATTCTTCACATGGTTAGTTTTCTTAGACATCTAATGATTGAGTCTCATAGAACAAGTTCAAGATTCCATAATGGTATCATCATAAGTAAGAAATAAATTGCCATTATGGCAGTAATAAATTTTAGCTAAACATGAGCTTGCCCTTAGTATTTTCAGAAATATTAGAAAGTTAAACTCAAATGAAAGTTTTAACCAAGAATGAAAGATAAGAATATAAATCAATTGAACCATTTAAGTGCTGCCTTTCTCCATATTGTAATCTAGAACAAATAATATATACATAAGTTTCTAAAAGTTATATCACATGATTTCAAATTATCCAACTTCCAGTGAAGAATTAAGAGCGCTTATCAAATTAAAAAAATGAGAATTTGAAGACAAAGGATTTGTAATGCTTAAAACGGTCTTTTCTAAGAAGTCACTAATGCTTAAAACAGAAAGAGGATTTGTAATCCTATGTACATAAGTTTATATCATATGATTTCAAATTACCCAACTTTCCAGTGAAGAATTAAGAGCGCCTATCAAATTAAAAAAGAAGAGAAAAAAAAAGGAGAAATTGAAGACAGAGGATTTGTAATGCTTAAAACAGTCTCACTAAGCAGCCACTAATGGGAAAAGGAACTTACTTAGCAATTTCTTGATGGTTCCCACCGAACATTTTAGCTGCAGACACTAAGAAACTGCGGGAATAACTACTGGAGAAACAACTGAGATCTAATTTCTTTTCCGGCAAGAAATTTGCCTTATTTAGGTACCCTTCCTCGTACAAACGACCCACCAGTAAAACCATATCGGGCGAAAGCTCTTTCTGAGGAGGCTTAACTTGTTGTGAAAGCTCTTTCCGAGGAGGTCTGGCTTCTGATGAAAGTTCTTTGTTGGGATGTCTCTTGACCTCGGCAGTTTCCAAATGTATAGATGTTCTGTCATTTGCAAAAAGAGAATACAAGCTCCTGGCTTTATTATCATTTGGGGGCGGGCCTATTTCTTTCTTTGGCGATTTCTTCTTCTTCGCTTTCTCCTTCGAACTCCTTTTGAGACTCCTCACCTCATTCTCCAATTTCCGTAATTTCTTCTTCAATTCTTCGATTTCCTTCAACTCTGAACCATCAGAGAATTCGTCGTCCTCCAATTCCTCCGCCTCCGAAGAATCGCTTTCTTTGGGATTTTCACTTAACCCGACAGCCTCTTTGAAGAAAACATCGAGGGGTTTTTTCTCCTTCTCTAGTTTCGTCACGCATTCAATCTTTCTCCGAATGCTTTCGGACTTCTTAGTCGATTCATCGCTCTCTGAATCAGTCGATTCTGTTTCGGAGCGTTCTTCGACGTGGGCAGAAGCCGAAATCGTTCTCCGAGTGATTGAACTAAACTTGAATGAATTAAAACAAGGACAAGATTTCTGAAAATCTGACAAGCTGGAATGAGCGGTGGAGGATGTATATAGAGGTTTTCTAACTAACGTTGATGTGCTTTGCGGTCTGAGATGCCTATAGAGGTGAAAGGAGCGAAGGGTTCTGTACGAAGCCATACTTGAATGTGTACAGAGGGTTTTTGGAGGATGAGAATAATACAGAACTGGCTGTAGAGGCAACCATGAGACTACAGAGTAAGCATTAATGGAGAACCATTAGGGTTGGAGGGACTCCGGAGCTGCTAGAAATAACGTGTGTATGTCTAACACTGGGTGGTACTGTTAAGTGTTAACAGTTGAGAACATAAATATTAAATAGAGCTTCAGAGATCGCATGAGCGCCTTTCCCCCGTGCTTTTATGCAATGCTGCAATTGTAGATGGGTCAAGACTCCAGACCAGTTGACAGTTGACGGGCCGGGTTTTGTCTCTTTTGAAAATGTACAGGAAAATCAGGACCAAGAAGCCTGATTTGTACAGATACATTAAGGAAAAATTTTCGATAGGTTTCCTGTAATTTAGGCCGAGTGTCAATTTAGTATTCGAATTTTAAAATGCGATACTATCCGAACTTTTATTTTGCTATGATTTATTACTTATTTGGCGTTAATTCATGGAAAAAGATACAAACATTCTTTAAATATCATCTAATTTTCTTTATTAACCATCTATTAATAAAGCACAACGATCCAAACTTCCAAAACATAAGAATTCAAATATATGAAAGCAGAAGAACAAGATGAAGTAGAAGCTTTATTGCTCTCTGATCTACCGATTATGGAAATCAAGAGAGAGAAGCATTAATTGAGGAAATTAAAGCTATCGTTGCCGTTGTTCATGTCTCCGAAACGAAGCTGCGTTGAAAAAGTTGTTCATGGTGTTTGAGCACCAGGGAGAGCAGATTGTAGGAATAGAATGTGACTAGAGCACCTATAGTCACGCAAAACACTCGGGCAACCCATCCCAGCAAACGCAAACACAAATGGTAAACTCAAAAGTGTTGGAGCTACAATCGAAGTTGTTGGCATGGTTTTCAAAACCGGACCGGACCGGACGGTTGGATTGGAAAAACTGGGAACCGATCATCTAATTGGTTCTGTTTTCCTCCAAAACCATTGATTTTGGTCAGCAAACCATTGAACCGGCCGGTTAACCATTCGAACGGTTTTGATTGTTTTCTAATTTTTTAAATTTTTTTATTTTTTTTGTCAGAACGGGCCGGTTGTTCGGGTCGAACTGTCGGACCATTCGAACCAATAACCAGACCCCTGACCAGTTCAGTCACCGGTTCATTTTTAAAAACCATGGTTGTTAGATGATATCCACAGTGCACTCATGATCCTACAATTTTGAACACAAACATGCAAACCCCCCATTCAGTCTTCCATGAACTTCCCCGTTGGGCCATGGAAGAAGAATGGTTTAGTCCGGCTTCCATCAAATTTGGAAGTGGAAGAACAATACTCATCTTTCTCTCCACAGATTGAAACTTGTAAAGGTGTATGAGACACAAGCACACAAAACAAAAAGAAAAAGAGTTTCACTTATAAGAGTAAGCATGGTCAATGGTCTAGAGCTTCCAAATTCATCAAATACCCACTTATAATCACACCGTTATTGTGTAGTTGTAAGTGTTCAATTAGTGCAATTGAAACAGTTTCTTCAAGGGTACTTGTTTCTAAGGCCAAAAGTAATAGAAGAAACTCAAATGTGAGTGAAAGTGATAATCATGAAACAACAACAGCAGCAGCAGGATGAGGGAAAGCAAGCCGTGTCTCACCGTTGCACATTTGAGTAGTTAAAGGAGCTCTCGATTACAGATGTGCCATGGGAAGCTCAATAACAAGTCTCTCTCGTGTTTATTCCAATGAGCACCATTTTTCTCTCTCCTTTTCCACAGTTCCTGTTCCGCCTCCACCGTAGTTCTCTTTCTCTCTCTTGATCAGGACCGTCAAGTGTGGGCCATGGTGGCAGCTATGGTGGTGAATTGAGAACACCACCCCTCCCGTTGACCATGGTGGCGGCCAGCGGCGAGCCCTGGCTCTTGTGTTTTCATCAGATGGTTTGAACTGGACTGTTGAGAACTTGACTTGGGCTCTTTCTCATTTTCTTGAGAAAGAAGATGATGAACAATGTGTTTTATTTTCAAGGGTAATTTTGGCATTTCCAGAAGTCTTAAATCAAACATGAGGTCATGTGATATACATAACTGACGGTCCATTAACGGTAGGTACTAGATTGTCGCATTTCAAAAGTTTGAGTACTAGATTGTCACATTTCAAAGTTTGGGTACTAAATTGGCACTCCACCTAAAGTATAGGGTACCTATCGGTCATAATATTAATTATATACTTATTGTTAATAATGTGTCATAATATAATACATATTATATTTTTATTATATATAATATTATTGAGTCGGGCTTATTTGAGAAAGTACAAACCCATAGGTCCAAAACTTTATCCAAGCTTGATAAAAAACAGGTTGGGATGGGCCCACCCATCGGACTACTCGGCTTATGAATAAGTTAGATAGCTCTCACTCTCATCTCGAAAAAGCCCTCTTAGATAGGTTACTTGTTTTTAGGGGTAGTGTCAAGTTAGTACCTGAACTTTCAAACATGTCATTGCAGTACCTAAACTTTCAAAAAGTGTCAAGTTGGTCCCTATCATTAAGACCATCAATTATCTATTGAAAATATCAAAATTACCCTTCAAAGAAGACATTGTTCATTGTTTTCTACCTTGAGACTGAACCGATTATCTTCAAAGAAAAAGAGAGAAAAAAAACATGAAATATGATAGAAGGAAACAATGACTGAAAGCAAAGAAATAACTAGACAAGAATGTGCTTTAGATCTAAAGGTAGAAGACAATTACTTCAATAGTCTAGAATCTCAAACACCTCAACCAGTTCAATCTCAAGGTAGAAAGACAATGAGCAATGTTTTTATGGAAAGAGTGCACAATAACCAACATTTGAACATCATTTGTTCCTTAGGCCGTGCTTGGTTGCAGTGCAAATTTATTTGCACTAGAACAAATATATGGGAATGCAAATGTAAAAAAATGCAAATTCTTGTTTAATTTTATTTTGGATTTTACTTCATTCTACTTCATGTCTTAATTTACTTCATTTATACTGCAACCAAACAAAATAAGCTAGCACTAATAAAAATGCGTGGGAGTGCAAATGTAAAAAAAACATGCGAAATACTGTTTAGTTTTATTTTGCTTCATGTCTTAATTTACTTCATTTGTACTACAATCATACAAAATAAGCTAAACTTTGGAACAAAAATAGGTAAGAATTTATACTCAAATCATTTGCACTGCCATGGTTTTGCATCAGTGCAAAATTATTTGCATTGCAACCAAGCAAAACTTAGGATTGGTTTGGAAAGAGTACAAATACAAAAATACAAGGTTTTGCACCATACATATTTGTATTTGCACTCCTTCCAAATTCAGCTTTAGGCTCAATTTTAGGAATGTCAACAGGGCGGGGTGAGACAAATGAATGGAAAAACGAGAAAGGATAAAATTGGAAATGAAATCATTCAAAGGAATCTAAGAATAACTCTAATAAGGGATAAACTAACAGAAAGTAGGATAAGATATGATTTGGTCATGTGCATAAAAGACTATTTACAACACAAAAAGTTGTTGCAAGTTAAAGGGGGCAAAAGGACTAGGGATAAAAAAGGACATGTTTTGAAGTAGTAAGAAATGATTTGAGTGTTAACAATTTAACAATGGAGATGACACTAAACAAAAAGGAATGGCAAAATGAGATTCATGTAACCGGCCGTACATAGTCGAGATAAGGCTTAGATGATAATGATGATATTTTTGAAATGTAAAATTGCTCTTAGGGCTTAGTTTGGAAGGAGAGCAAAAACAAATATGTACACTACAAATTTTAAAGTTTTTTTGGTATTAATCAATGACTGACCACCCATAGGAATTGTTACTCTTTTAAGTGAATAGTACAACATCACATCACCGGCTATTTTCTTAGAGAAATGTGATTCGAAACCGCACCACCTCTAGGACAATTCATCCAACACACCAACTACACTACCCCTCACTTAGCTACAAATATAAAGTTTAAGAACACAAAATAATACAAAATACAAGGTTTTGCACTTTACATATTTGAATTTGCACTCAATATGAGCCTTGGAAACAAAATAAATATAGTAATGTTCTTGTTGTGTTAATATATAGAATGACAAATAGAAAATTGTAGATGAAGATATATTATAAGAATTCCCAAAAAAATAATAAAAAAGCCTCCCAATATTTATTGCTTCTAACTTAATTATTTTCCTACATTTTACCTAAAAGTATACTCCATCCATTCGTGGCATAGAAAACAAAGGAATAACATTTGTGTATATGGGTATTTCTCGATCTTACTTTTCACTTTTATCAGTTATTTTACTTTTCATTTCATCATTAACGGTTATAGCCTTTTCTTTTTCATGATTATAATGAATTTCAGGTCCAAGTACCACTTCCATTTATTCATCATACATTATTTAGGTTTGAAAAGCATTACCTTATGGAGAAAGCATGTAGAAAATAATAATTTGGAGAGGTTAGCCAGGTCTATTTATGTGCAGGTTAAGACCCACTGCACAAATATTGCTTAAAGACAGAATAAATAGTAAAAGTAAGCAAAAGTACTGAATACTGAATAAAATATGCCATTAAAAATCATAAAAAATTAGTGATCCAGAGGAAAATATTAGAGTCAGAATCAATGAACTGTAAATCATCATCATCATCTAAACCTTATCCCTAATATTTGGATCAGCTATATATATGAGTCCTATTTCATCATTCTATTTTGTTAAATGTGATATCTATGATTAAATTATTTGTGTTTAAATCATAATCTCATGAATAGCCAAAAAATCAGATAATTTCATGGAATTCTATTCACTTTGGATTTTCTCTTTAGGCCCATCACAGTACCTTGCATTCACACATTTGAAACATTTCTTTGTATGCCAATGCACCACTAAATGGTTGAGAGAAGGATTCTAGAGGAAATCTGAATCCAATTCTATCTCACCAAACATCAAACAACAAAGGAGGATACAATTCCAACTCCATAGGGAAAAATAAACGGATCAGGGACCCAATCCACAGCCGTGAGGAGGAAGTCTGGATTCAATTGCTCTATCTCACCAAACAGTCAGATTCCAGAGTATTACAGTCTCATGGAAGTAGTAGGATACAAGTTCAACTCCATCAGTACGGATACCAACGTGTCAGGGTTGGTTGATCCAAAGCCAATCCGAAGTGATAAGCACTTTGTTGTCCCGACCAAACCCCGATAAGTATAAGAGAGTATTTAACCCAAGTATTCGACAATAATACCCGCCAACGGGTCGAGTTCAGCACCGCCTTGCCTTAGTCTGAACCCAATCACAACCATGATTATGGCGGGTCATTGCAGGTTTACCACTAAAACCGACCCGATGACATCCATTCCCATCAGCGTAACAGCGTTCCTTCTTTGCTTGATGCCAGGGGCCAGGGCTAACCCATTACCCACTTACCCAACCCAACTCAAGAATGAAACAGCCCACCCAGAGTTGGCCAAACAAACCCGAAACGATCCGAATCGAACCCAAAATGGGAACAGAAAGAATCGGCTTGGTGGTGGTGTCTTCTTTCTCTGATCCGGAGACCAGAGTCCAGACACCAAGTTTGAAGTTTGAACCGAAGAGCCTCCAGCCTCAGCCTTCTTAAGGCTTTGCCACTTGTCAAGTAAATGATGTTTTCTTACCAACTCCCAGAGAGAGAGAGAGAGAGGGAGAGAGAGGGAGTGGTAGTTTTGCTTCCGAGCGTCTATTAGAGACTACAGATCACTACAGATCAGGGGAAGCTCGTTTACTCTGACTTTGAGTCATCGATACCTTGATTAGGATATAAAGCCCGCGAAGAGAGAGAGAGAGAGAGAGAGAGTTGCTTCGGAGTCTCAGCAGTCGGGGTCCTCGACTTCGGAGCTCCTTCTTCTTTGCAAATTCACTTTTGCCTTTCATGGCGGAAAGGGTGCCATGACTAGTTGACCTCTTTCTCTTTGTATCCTCGTTGTTTTCGAGGTAAGCCAGAGAAAAGAGCGGATCTTTAATCTTTTTTGCCTATCTGTGAAAAGGCAACGGTGTTTTGGTTACTGTGTTTCGTTGTTTTTCTTTTGGATTTTCTTCTTCTATTTTTGTCTATTTGTTATACTGGAAGCTTCTGAGCTGGTTTCTGCCTTTCATTTTGACCAATTTTACTGTTTCAATGACTATTCTCTGGCGGCTTTCTGAGTGTTGAGTTTGTCAACGAAAAAACGGGTATAGAAAGTTGGCTGTCTGGTTTGAATTATGGCAGAACTGCTGTGATGAAGACAAGGTGGTTAGGGTTTCAATTCTGACGAACTGGTTTTTTTAACTGTAATTTCAGGTGGATTTTGTTTTCTCGAAGGCAGAACTCGCTGATCTGAAGTTTTCGATTGCTTAATTTCCGTTATTTGGGAAATTAATGAGATTCTTGAGTTCTGTGACCTGGTTTTATTTGTTATTGTTCAGATCCATTGTTGAAGGCTTTGGTTGATTGGATTAGATTGCTTTGGTGAGAAATAAGCGGTTACTGGTTCATCGTGTTGATGTTGGGGAGGTAAGAAGATTGGGAGTTTGATTATTTTGGGTGAAATTTTCGTTGGGAGGTTGGAGATGGTATTATCTTGTTGGTTTTTGGATTTTGGAGGTTGAGTTTAGGGGTTTGAATTTAGGATGGATGGGTCTCAGGGCAGCTCCAATGCGCCGCCTCCTTTTCTTACGAAGACATATGAAATGGTGGATGATCTACCCACCAACTCTATTGTCTCATGGAGTGAAAATGGCAACAGTTTCGTAGTGTGGAATCCGCCAGAATTTGCAAGGGATTTGTTGCCCAAGTACTTCAAGCATAACAATTTCTCCAGCTTCGTTAGGCAGCTCAATACGTATGTAAGTATGTCGAAGTATGTTTTGTTTAATTTGGGTTAGCGTTCCCTGGGTTCTGTTGCTTATTTCCTCTTCTTTTCAAATCAAAGGTTTTCCTTTTCGATCTAGTTATTCCTCTTGTTTAAATTCAACTGTATTCCCTTTTCAACCAGGGTTTTAGAAAAATTGATCCTGATCAATGGGAATTTGGGAACGAGGATTTTATAAGAGGCCAAAGACACCTTTTGAAGAATATCCATAGACGCAAGCCAATTCACAGCCATTCCCAACAAAATCAACATGGAAATTCTACTGGATTAATTGAATCAGAAAGGCAAGAGCTTGAAGAGGAAATTGAAAAGTTGAAGCATGAAAAGAGCAAACTTATTTTGGACCTACAGAGGCATACACAGGAGCAGCAAGGGATTGAGTCACAAATGCAGTCCTTGGAGCAAAAATTGCATCAGTTGCAACAACGCCAGCGGCAAATGATGGCTTTCTTGTGTCAAATCCTGCAGAAACCTGGGGTTGCTTCAAATCTCATGAAAGATTCAGAAAACTATAATAAGAAAAGAAGGTTGCCGAAGCTTGATTACTTATATGGTGAAGCGGACATAGAGGAGAACCAAGTGGTGACCTTCCAGAGGGAGAGACCTGATGCTGTATCTATGCCAGTAATAAACATAGAGCCATTTGAAAAGTTGGAATCATCGTTAAATTCTTGGGAAACTTTTCTAAATGGGGTTGGCCAAGCTTCAGGGGAGGAAATGTCTCCTGTTGGAGTGGCTTTGCAACCTTCTACAGTTGTTCTTACAGAAATGCATTCATCATCTGGAGACCCAGACATAAATATGCAGACAGAGTCCCCCGAATTATGTCAGTCTTCACCTCATTCTAGAGATATTCATTCATCTCTAGAATTGGCAGGATCTACAAGTCATGGGGAAAGCATGGTTATTTCTTCTGTTCAGTTTAATGCAGATACACGGTCAAGAGCTCCTGGAATTGATATGAATTCCAAGCCTGCTGCTGCTTCTGAGGTTCAGGCATCTACAGAACGGGTGACAGGAAGCATGACTGCTGCACAGCCAACAGGGGTGAATGATTTATTCTGGGAGCAGTTTCTTACTGAGACTCCTGGTTCATCTGATACACAGGAGGTCCAGTCAGAAAGGAGGGATGCTGATGTCAGAAAGATTGAAAACAAGCCAGCTGATAATGGGATACTTTGGTGGAACATAAAGATAAGAATGTAGATAACCTTACAGAACAGATAGGTCAACTTACTCCAGCCGAAAGAACATAATGTTGGTTGGTTTTTTATTCCAACTTTTTTCATGTCACAGGAGCTGGGTGTATTGTTAACTTGATGTAGAGGTATACTTGTTTCTGTCTTGTTTATATATAGACAGATATTCATGTTTTGAGCTTATCATTCTTGTGAATCTTAGATGCTTGTCAATTAGGTTCGCACTAACATTCCCTTGTTCATTATTTTTTCAATTTATTATGATTTCTAATAAATGGTTATCAACAATCACTTGATTTACTTGTGTCCCATTATATCAACACCATTTAATCAATTAATGAAGCATTAACATATATAACCATTAATACTTTATTCTCATGCTTTTTTTCTGATGCCATGTAATTCCATTTCGGGATTTACTAAAAGATATATGTACCTGAAGCTAGACACAATGACCACCTGTGTGACTGGAGAAAGCATTATGTTCTTTGTATAGTTTCTACAATGTAATCATTGCATTGGTGAAACTATAGGGAATTTATTGTGAAGGAAAGACACATTCATATGTTTGTGAGGTGAATAAAATGCGAAGTAGTATACTCTTGCATGCATCTTTTATTTATTGTATACAATTGTTTACATGCTTCTGCCATATTTTGTTTTTGAGGTACCTCTATGGTGAGCTTTAGCATTAAGAATGGGTTAATGGACTTGTTGAAATTGTAGGAAGGGAAAAACTAGAAACTTAAGGATACATGGGAACCTAGGGTTAGCTCCAATATCCAATAGGTCATATGATAAGAAAATACTCCTCCAAGGTCCAAGATTAAGGCTCTTTTAAGACGACTAGAAGGCCAAGAAGGATGCTAATTGAAGCACTAGGAAAGGGCTTAACAACTGTATTGAGGAGATGAACCCAGACAAAACGAATTGCATAGCAGGATTCTTGTAGCTTGTCCAAAATAGTTGGAGTATGGCTTAATTAAATTTAGTCAAGCAGAAGCTTAGCCAAATACATTATCTTAGTAATGATGTGCTATATTGCTTAAAAATAAATCATGGTATCTCAAATAAATTCTATGACTATCATACTTTGGTTTCATTTAGGTAAGGGTGTCTGAAACTTCATATCTGTCTGACATAGTACATGTCTGTTCCTAATTTAATATAGATTATTCTGGTCTGGTAAAGGTGGAATTTTTGTAGTGTGGAGGTAATTGTGTTCCTTAGGTATGGATAAGGTGGCTGCGGGAGGGGAATGTGGTAACTTATTTGTTTGGTTCTATTTTCTAGAGGAAGATCCGTGGAGGATGTCTTATGTTTTTTAGAAATTTTAGACCCTTGTCTTGTGTCAATCCTCTTGAGTAAGATAAGAATGGTATAACAAAAATGAATTATAAGTTAATTAACTTTCATAGGATAGATCCATCATTTCTAGATTTCTCATTGAAAAGGATTTCAGTTGTTCATATTTAGTGTCAGTTACACTGTCAGTATTCACAGTTTATATTGGCTATTAAATTATTGTTTCTTTTTTTTACTTATTTTCATAGGAAAATGGTCTACAAAATGGGGATAGCCCTCCCCCAAAACCCCAAGACCCCCCCCCCCAACCCCAGTGAAGGCAGGATTTGATCCGAAGTCTCTGCTACTTCTACAACAAGCCAGAGATCTTACCAGCAAGTTAGCTGGCTAAATTGTTTGTTGTTCTTATTAAACAGTAACAAACAACTTTCTATTTGATCCCAAGTCTCTTCTAGTGCTACAACTAGCCAGAGACCTTACCAGCAAGTTAGCTGGCTACATTGTTCGTTGTTCTTATTAAACAGTAGCAAACAGCTTTCTATTTCTACTTTCATGCTCAGTTTTTATTATTTATTTGTCTGGCCCTGCAAGCTGGTGAGGATGAACTCAAAACCAACTACTCCCACTGATTTTAGAGTTTGGTGGGTGCTTTACACCATTGAGTTAGGTTAGGCTTTGAAAATCCAGCTGATTTAAATTGACTTGCAGAGGAGAAGTCATCTTTTGTGTAGGTAGCCTCTCTTTCTATGCTATTAAGCTCTGAAAAACTGCTAGAAGAAATGCACTCTTATTTTATGCACTTTGCTATATGATCACCTGCATGGCTCTTTGTCTTTCCTTTTTCAGAGGTGGGAGAATACTTGTATTTACTTGTTTTCAAGAGTGGAATATGGTATTGAGGTCTGTGTTTTTCTCTTCATATTATCCAACTTTTTTTTTGGGATACTATGGATGAAGACATGGTCTCTATGGATCCCATTAAATTTCATTTGGAGGAGGAAACTTATAAGGACTGTATCAGTTCTTTATCAAAGAAAGACAGGGATAGCTGAAGCTTTTCAAACAGGCATAGGTCAACTAAGGGGCATTCCCTAAGGCTATGTTTGGTTTGAAGGAAAAAGTAGGGAAAAGAAGGGAAAGGTAGGGAAACCTACACAAGTTTTGTAAAGGTTTCCCTACCTTTCCCTTCTTTTCCCTAATTTCTCCTTCAAACCGAACATAGCATTAGTAATTAGAATTGTAGATTTTCAGTTCACTTTATTTAGGGGGGGGGGGTAGTATGGGCCCATGGGGGTGTAGTGTGGGATCCATAGTAGGCAAGCCCCTTTTCCCAGTCCTTGTCTTCTTTACATTTAAGCCATTAATTGGTAGTGCCATTTGATTTCTAGTTGTTTTGCTAGAAGTTTGCAATCATTCCATTGTTGTTTATCACAATTGGCCATTACCCAATGTTTGTCCAGCTATATGGGGTCTTGGGAGAGTTGGACTTAGATACAGACCTAGCCTGTAGTATTTTTTGCACAAAGTAGCACCTCTCTGACTCAACCACATGTTTTCACACTTTCAAAGTGAGTGAATTGACAAAATCACAAGAAGAATGTCACTAAAATCACAATGCATTTGACTCAAAAGGATTCTTTAGGCATATGTTAAGAGTGGTAAACTAACCCGAGCACATATATTCCATGTCTTATGAAGTCTAATTTGAATAAGATACTGATGTAGTTGGAAAGAATTTTTTCTATAACAGTTTTATTCTTTAGCTATTTAACCTCCCTACTTGGTTTTGCCATTTTGCAATAAAACCTTTGAAATTGATGAGTTTATTTTCATCCATTCTTTTTCCCATGCTAACTTCTATCATTGATATGCACAAAAGGAGTTGGTGTTACCATGTTTTTTTTCTGTGGCTTGAACTTTAGAGAGACCTGCAGATTCAGCTAAATACGTGATTTTGCATCCACTTATCAGATCCATTTTGGCTACAAATTACCTCAGATTTGGGGAGAGTTGCATGTAAGCTTTTTCTTTCTTATTCCTAGCAATGCACCTTTAGGCTATGTTTGGTTTGAAGGAAAAAGTAGGGAAAAGAAAGAAAAGATGGGGAAACCTATACAAGATTTGTGAAGGTTTCCCTAACTTTCCTTTCGTTTCCCTACTTTTTCCTTCAAACCAAACATAGCTTTAGCTGCTTAAAGAAGATGCATGGTTTTATCTTCATATCGTGTAAAAGTTCCATGTAGTCCTGCCTTGATCTTGAATGGATGATTGCAAGGCTTTTTATATATCAACTGGCCAAATTTTAATTCTGCCAACGGAAAGTACCATAAAGTTCATCATTTTCAACTCTATTGCTTTGTTCCTATGAGGAAAAGATTATTACCGGAAGTAGGAAACTGATAGAAAGTATGACCAAGGGATTAATATAATGGTGAGAAGAATTGTAACTATTGTACTTGGATGGATTAAATTGTTACAATGTCAGTTCTTATGAACTGAGAGATAGTTTATGTACGAGCAAACAAGTCAAAATTGGAATATTCTGAATTTTTATATTTTTGTATTTTGTATTTTAAAATGATAGGGATAGTTTGGGCATTTTACATTGGTTAAACCTAAGAATTTGATTTGTTTACTCATAGGTTGCGTTTAAAATTTTGGAGTTATTGGTCAAGTAATTTGCTCTATTTGTTTGCAGTGCAAATTTTATTTGCATTAGTTTGCATAGGAGTGCAAATGGGCAGACTATAAAATCTGGTTTACTTTTGCATCAGATTGGACCGTCTTATTTTGTTTTCTGAGTGTTGTAATCACAGATTACTAATATGTAATTTCAGAAATACCACTAATCATCATTGACTCTTGGACTTAATACAAACAACAAAGATGCATAAACCTCATCAATCAAACAAAAACGTCCGAAACCAAGAGATTGGACCGTCGTATTTGCTTGTGAGAAAACAAAATATGAAGTTAGATGCACCCACATAATACGGAAGAGAATGGAAGGAGGAAGATTGTGTTTGGGACTGAATTTGGAGGAAGGTGGTGCAAAGTTTGTATCAATTTAGAAAAATTCGCAATACCAATGAGTGTGATACGTGCATGCATATAGCAGCCGAAGACCCGGTCAAAGTGGATAGCAGCAGAAGACCCGGTCATGTTAGCTCTTAGTTGGGATAAGCCTTATCCATTCAGTTTTACTTCTGTTAGAATAGATAAGTCTTCAATTCTGTTCCTAGATAAGTGCATTCTGTTTCTTAGATAAATCTTCAATTCTGTTCCTAGACAAGTGCATTATGTTTTCTAGATAAGTGCATTCTATTTTTTTTGTTGATAAGCTCCTAAGATTAAGGGGCAGTAGTTCCTATTTCTACTCCCAGTTTGTAGCACCATAAGG